ACTTGGATTAAACTCGTGAACTTGAGAGGAAGTTTATAGGTTATTCTTGGTTTTAGCTTTTATTTTTCTGGATTATAAAAGCAATAGTCACTGCTGAAATTTTGAGAAATATAGGAAGGTATACAGAACAAAACCCATTTATAATTCCATCACTGCAGTACAGTTGTTATTAATCTTTTCATGCCTGCTCCTTCAGTATTCTTCCTAATAATTACACTTACATATATTAATGCAATAAGATATTTCTCATTTCAATAAATATTCTTCTATGAATGTTTTTGTTCTTGCTTTGTGACCATCTCACCTGGCGCCTTCTTCCAGGGGCTGTGGAAGTCAAAGTTCAGCCCTGAGAACACAAGGAAGGAGCCGTTCTACATGGCTGATGGGAAGACATGCTTAGCACCTATGATGTACCAGGAGGGCAAGTTCCGGTACCGGCGTGTGGCAGAAGGCACCCAGGTGCTCGAGTTGCCTTTCAAAGGAGATGACATCACCATGGTGCTCATCCTGCCCAGGCCTGAGAAGAGCTTGGCCAAGGTGGAGCAGGAGCTCACCCCCGAAGTCCTGCAGGAGTGGCTGGATGAGTTGTCAGAGATGATGCTGGTGGCCCACGTGCCCCGCTTCCGCATTGAGGACAACTTCAGTTTGAAGGAGCAGCTGCAAGACATGGGTCTTGTTGATCTGTTCACCCCTGAGAAGTCCAGGCTCCCAGGTTGGTACAGGAGGGAGTTTCCTCCTCTCTGTCCCAAGGTGGTCTGAGCAAGGGAAAGAGTTGAAGAAAGAGCAGAACAAAGCCACGGGAGAGGACACCTAGATTCTGATACCAGCTCTCTGCTGACTGTGGAAAGTCCTTCCTCTTTTGAGGCCTCAGTTTCTTCTATGAAAGGGGAAATTTGCTCTTGTATGCCACTGGTCCAGTTAGCACTAGTACCCTATGAATCTGTATCTTACAGAGGAGATGGAACCAAGTGGAGAAGAACTCAAAAAGGAATTAGAAGCCAGGTGAAGCAGCACATGCCTGTAATATCAGTGACTCTGGAGGCTGAGGCGGGAGGATGGCAAGTGTCTGACGGAGGCCAGCCTTGTCAACTTAGTGAGACCCTGTCTCAAAATAAAAAAATAAAAAGGGCTGGAGAGCTCAGTGGTAAAGCACCCTTAGGTTCAATCCCCAGTTTAAAAAAAAAAAAAAAGGCCTATAAGATGTTATAGGTCATTGGATTTATCTTTATTGGGCTGATGTCTATTCTAGAAACTAGTTCTGAAGGTCAACTCACCTCTTAAAAATGTGGCTAGATGGAAAAGAAAGCTATTCCTACAAAGTAGGTGAGGGCCTTTTTCAAAAAACAAAATCCTTCTGAGCGTGGGGATGTACACTATAATTCCAGCTACTCAGGAGACTGAAGCAAGTTTGAGGCCAGCCTTAGCAATTTAGGGAGACTTTATTTCAAAATGAAAATTTAAAAAGGGCCTGGGGCTATAGGTCAGTGGTGGAGCGCTTGCCTCACATGTATGAGGCACTGGGTTTGATCCTCAGCACCACATAAAAATAAGATATTGTGTGTCCATCTACAATTAAAAAATATTTAAAAAATTAAAAAGGCTGGAGATATAGCTCAGTGGTAGAGCCCCCTGGGTTCAATTCCCAGTAGCAAGGAAACAAACAAAACCCCACCTTTCCCCACCCACTCCAAAGAGCTGAAGGTTGAGGTTAGATCCCCAAGAGCCAGGCTGAACAAGCCCAAAGTTCTCTATTATTTTTAACACATATTCACTGTGGAGGTATTATTAGGTGAAGGCCCAGGATTTCTATTTTTCAAAAAAATCCCAAAGGACCTCTTAATTCCAACTGAATTCCTGTCTGTGCGTTGAAGTCAGCTTCCTCCCATTTCATAGAAACTTCTCTGGACTTCCTCCTAGGTATTGTTGCAGATGGCCGGAATGACCTCTATGTCTCAGATGCATTCCACAAGGCCTTTCTTGAGGTGAGTTCCCTTCCAGTGCGGTTTTCTGTATCTCATGTAACTGGCAGTCTTGCTGCACTAGCCTTTATGGCCTAGATGCTAGGACAACTGGACACAGGAGTGGAGGGGGCAACTTCTAGCACCTCAACCCAAACCTGTAGTCCTCTCCTCTGTGAGGTCTCCTGCAATACGACCCTCCTCCGAAACCCTCATGATGGGGCTGTCCCAGCCTCCTCTCCCCACTCCACATAGCAGGTCACACAGGACACAGGGACACAAACATTTAGGGGAAGGTGACACAGGAAAAGGAGAATGATCAAAGGCCACTGAGAAGGACTTCAGAGGAGGAGGAGGAGGAGGAGAACCAAGAAGAATTTTAAGAAAACAGAAAGTATTTAGCAAGAAGATTGAAAGTGAATGTAGTTACCTTTTGCTGAGTTTGGACAGAACATGCCTAATTGTACCAGTGTGGATCAGTCCTGAAGAGCGTTCTGGAGAATGGGAGCACTAGACTACATTGCAGGAAATGAAAAGTTAGGTGGACAAATAAATGTGTACCTTTTTCTTGAGAGATTAATATGCACACTGCCATGTTGAGGTGTGAGAAGTCCCTTACCGAGGAAGACAGTCAAATACTGCTTAACTTACGCTCCCCCAAGAGAGGCCTCCATAGACAGAAAGGTAGCTCTGTATCACTTACGGAGCTTCTGGTGCTCAGAGGGTTAACTGTGGACCAACAGTGTTAGTCATCTGGGGCTCTTCACCATTGAAGATTCTGAGATGGGGTTTGAAAATCTGTTTATTTACAAACTCTTAGGGGATTGTGATGTACAATCAGCTTTGGGATTTACCAGTGCAGACCTTTCTTCATAGAAGCCAGACTGTAAGGCAAAGGAGATGGACCAATGTTCGAGATGTTCCCAGGACTGAGGAAGCTGTGAAGAAAGGAGGTTGTCCCAGGCATAGTGGCACATGCCTATAATCCCAGGGGCTTGGGAGGCTGAGGCTGGAGGATTGAGAGTTCAAAGCCAGCCCAGCAAAAGCGAGGCTCTAAGCAACTCAGTGAGACCCTGTCTCTAAGTAAAATACCAAATAGGGCTGGGGATGGGGCTCAGTGGTTGAGTGCCCCTGATTTCAATCCCTGGTGCCAAAAAGAAAAAAAAAAAGGTTGTGGTCAAAGAAAAAGGTGCAGAGTGTGATGCCAGTAAACATGGTTCCAAGGCTCAAGCTCAGTAGGAAAGGTTTGGTTGTGAGGGAAGTGGCTCAAGGGACAGGAGGAAGTCTGCAGACTGAAAGATCTGAACCTGTTGGTAAAACTGTCTGCTATTAAATTTAGTACCAGAATGAGCATGAAAAAGATACTGTGGAGAGACAGAGGGTAAGGAAGAAGGTGGAAGGAAGACCAGGAGAGGGGAAAACATCATTAACCAGGACCACAAAACTCAGGGACCTCAAGTTCTCTACAGGGACAAAGCTAGTGATATTCTGGGTAGTCAGGAAGCATTTTCTGATGTCCTTCTAGATGTAGCGATTCTGTTTATCAGCCAAGTTCAAATAGCTTTGTCTGTTACTTCAAGAAAAACCCATCTTATCCAGCCAGAGGACCCTCTTCATAAGCTGAGTCCTGAGTAGCGGTTTGGGGTAGTTACATCTGCAGCTCTGACCTTGGGTCAGACTTTCCTTCGGCAGTTAGTACAAAATAACCTTGTGACACCAAGTTCAATGATGCCAGCCGGAATCATTGTGTACGTTCAGACTTCTGGCTCAGGGGAACATGAGTGAACTCTTGCAAGGCTTGGATGGATGTACACAAGTGCATTACATTTACTGGGTCAAAGAATGAGTAGAGCCAGGCGCGGTGGTGGCGCACACCTGTAATCCCAGCAGCTTGGGAGGCTGAGTCAGGAGGATCATGAGTTCAAAGCCAACCTCAATAAAAGTGAGGTGCTAAGCAACTCAGTGAGACCCTGTCTCTAAGTAAAATACTTAGAGTGCCCCTGGGTTTAATCCCCAGTACCTTAAAAAAAAAAATAAAAGAATTTGAGTAGAAGTAGGGTTCTGGAGGGAGCTTGCTCTGACCCATTCTTTACCACTGGAAGACAAACAGCCTTTCGAGGAACTGCCCATCTGCGAATGAGGCCCTAGCCTTGGAGAGCCACAGAGCAGCTAATACAGCAGTTGTGTTTCCTGTGTGACTTGCAGGTGAACGAGGAAGGCAGCGAAGCAGCAGCAAGCACTGTCGTCAGCATCGCCGGCCGTTCGCTGAACCCCAACAGGGTGACCTTCAAGGCCAACAGGCCCTTCCTTGTTCTTATTAGGGAAGTTGTTCTGAACACTATTATCTTCATGGGGAGAGTAGCCAACCCTTGTGTTCACTAAAGTATAGTATTCTTTGAGCCTCTTCCTATTTTGGTTTGTGAATAGAAGTAAAAATAAATACAACTACTCCCATCTCACAGTTGTGAAAGGCCTTTGCTACCTGAAATGAAGACAAGGGAAGGAAAAAGAGAGGCTACTGGGGCATTTGGTAAAATGATGCTTTCAACTGTTCTCTCCCCCATGAACAATCTTAGGTCAAGAAAATGAAAGAAGAGGCACCGTGGCTCACGCCTGCAATCCCAGTGACTTGGAAGCTGGGGCAGGAGAACTGCAAGTTCCAGGCCAGCCTGGGCACTTAACCAGACCCTGTCTTAAAATTTAAAAAGGACTAAGATGGGCACATGCCTGTAACCCCAGTAGCTGGGGTGGCTGAGGTAGGAGGATCACAAGTTCAAAGCCAGCCTCAGCAATTTAGCGAGGCCCTAAACAACTTAGTGAGACCCTGTCTCAAAAGGGTTAGGGGATGTGGCTCAATGATTAAGCATCCCTGGGTTCACTCCCTGGTACAAAAAAAAAAAAAAAAAGAAACAAACACACAAACAAACAAAGATCGATCCTGAAAAGGTAGGGCTAACTGGAATTCTCAATATTCCCATCACATTAAAAACTTCCAAAAACATAAACAAATTGATCTCTATATACAGAAAAGACAGATTCAAATCTGAGTATTAAACCATTTAATTCTCAAACCACTCACATGCATAATAGTCTTTTACACAGTGTTAAAATAAAGAGGAAAATGCATTTTCATACAAACAGAATTTCAAGTATACATTAATAGACTTTTCAGATTACTAACCAAGTTGCTAAGATTTCATTCACATTGTTCTTAAAGCTGTTCAACGAGAAAGCTTTTGCTAAACTGCTTTAAATATGTTCATATAAACCCACATCTTAATTCTTCTGGGAATTGCCCTCCCCCACCCTGCTGCCCGCCCCCCTCCCCGACACCACAGGGCTCCTGGGGTTTTAGGAGACATGCTACCCCTCCAAGAATAACTGGCTTGTCACCAGGGGAAGGACAGTCTGCAGGAGGAGAGTGCGAGGACACCTGTCAAAGTAAGGGAGAACCAACCTGATACTTGGGGACGATGCAATTCTGGATCGTATCACTTGAATTTTAATCAAAAAACCCCTCGGCCTCCCACAAGACAAACAGAAGTTCCTGACAATTTGGTAGCTGACAAAAATCACCTAGTGATAGGTTTTTTTCCTTTTCTTCCCTCCAGTGAAATTTCCAAAATCAGTGTAGGCATTTTGAACAATTTCAACTTGGTGGTTGTTTCTTTCTCCCTTTGGCAGGGAGTAGGTGGGGGCAGCTTAAAAATGGATATTATTTGTGTGTTCACAATAAGACATTTGGTTAGTTTGATGGGTCTGGCAAGAGTTCTCCCTCCTCCACTCTCCTCCTGAAGTACTCTGGCTTCAGAGCCAGAACAGCCACTCTCCTTAGGAATTAAAGTGCATTTTTCAGTAAAGGGGACAGGGGAGAGGTGGTGATTCACACTGAAGTGATTATGGTTAAGGGAGGGTGGGGTGAAAGTCCTAATCCTATATATAGGTATTTATAATTAAGGACATGATAAAAACAGATAGTCTTAGGAAATAAGATGCGTAAGGCCAGTCCGGCATCCCCAGCGGGGAGCAGCATCCTGGCTCGCAGGCCTTTCGGAGGCATCTGTATTATTAATGGAGTAGCTGCTGCAGATGAAAGACACAAGTCTCAAATGTTAGGGTTTTTCAAAAGGAAAAAACAGACTGGTAGGTTCTTAGTTAAAAATACTCTATCCCATTCCCTTCCAGGGTAACATTTTAGAAACTGATTGTCTGTTTTAATAAGAATCCAAGTTGTGAAAATAATAGCAAGTTGTGAAAAACTGTTACGTTTGTTACTTATATATACTACAGTAGCCTTTAGAAACTCAGGAAGAAGCAGGCACAGTTGATTCTTGCTATCAATATCAACTGTAGGGGAGTGAAATCTTCCTATGATCTCTTTATTTGAAAGCTACCACCAGAGACTTATTTTCTATTTTACTCTCAATGCTTTATCATTTATTGGTGGGGAGTGGGGAGCCAAGTTTCCCAAAGAGAAGTTAAATGCTACATTATAAGCTGTACAAAGTGATGGGTTCAAGGTGAGAAGGGGAAACTCGTCCTGGGTTCTGGCCTCTGAGTCCAGTGTGATCTGCTTTTCACAGTGACCAGTGGGAAGGCACAGTGCCAGGGACAGGTAGATGGGGAGAGCTGTCACCCATCGTATAAGCACCATAGAGAACAGTTGGATTTCTTTCAGACTGTGTCCATCTGAAGGAAACCACATTTCTGCTACACTGACTTTTCTATCTTTGAACCCTCAACCTTCTCTTTGTGTCTCGGGAGGCAGTGCATAAGTGGGTTCCATCCCCAAATAATGAGGAACCAGGAAATCTGAATGTTCTCCCTATTTCTCCCTTTACTCAAGTAGGCTGACAGGCCAAAAATCCAGAGTTCTGATTTTAAGGTTTCTTTAAGGGAAAGGAAGATACTGACGTTCCTGATTGAACTAGTGGATCCATTTTAAGTTCTGCTATTGGATCACAAAATAATGCGACAGGCTAAGAATTGTGCATGCATATCTAGGCAGATGAAAAGCTGGTGGATGAGCTGGAACACACTTCGTTAGCCTATAATATGGGAACGTTTTCCTTTGCTAGGGCAGGAGGATGGGCAGAGTGGTGGACTGTGGTCAGGCTAGTATTTGCTTAGCTGTTTCAGAAAGGATTCCCTAGAGGTTTAGGGATCAGCAAGCCAACTCACTAGGGCAGAGGTTGACCTAACTTCACAGTCCATCTGGGAAATTCCTTTTAAGGAATTTGTTTCATTCCTTGTTTAAAACATAGTACGTGTTTATGATTAATCTTTTACTGTTTCCCCATCCTCCCCCACCACTCTCCCCTGCTCAAAATCTTAAAATTCCAGTGCGATATACTTTGCATAAAGTTTAGCAATATTTCACAGTACTCCACAATGTTCTTCAGGGGCTACTCTTTTTGGAGTCCCACAGGCTGTTGCTTTTGTCTTTCCACTAATAGGAAGACTTCAGCAAATCTAAGGTCAGAAGGCCTGTCTGATGACACCATGGCACTGACATGCTGAGCAACAGCAAGGCCTAAATGCACTTCAAACCAACTTCATAGTCAAATGCTAACCCAGTCCTCTGCACTAATCAACTTTTTCCTCAACCTACTTTTTCTTTTTGCACACACCACCTATTTGAAGTTCAAATTATCAATAAGTTATACATAATACATGAATGAAATTTTCTGTGGTGTTGAGAATACTGAGAAGACAGTATTATTTGAACTTGCTCTTAAACACAAATTTCTTTCATGAATTAGAAGTCACTTGGTAGCTAGTTAATTTGAACAGTGGTTTTCACTTTTTATGGGTAATGCAACAATTCTCCCCTCCCTATTACCAGGTGTGAGGTTGCCAAAGGCAGTAACAAACCCTGACTGCCATGAAAAAAACACCTTTACTACCTGGGGTAAGAAGAATGGAAGATATGGAATCTCATTGGGAATTACTGGGTGATGTCTTTTGTCATACTGGAACAAAGATGATAAAATAACTCATTTCACATTTCATATAATATTCAGAAACATTTATGCCTTAGTTAATTTCATTTACAAAGAAAGTCAAGGAAAAGTGAGTCACTTAACACAGAAATCCCACTGAGAAGACAAACCAGGAGACAATGTATCAAGATGGCCCCAAGCATGATCCTTCTCTTCCCCATCACCAATGCTACCTCACTGTTTACAAGTAGCTCTTTTAATACATTCAAGGACTCTATTTCAGCTACTAGAGTTGAAAAATCTCTACTCAACCCCCCCCCCCCAATAAGCCTGTGATCCCAACGACTCAGGGAAGCTGTGGCTGCGGCAGGAGGATCGAAAGTTCAAAGCCAGCCTCAGCAATTTAGTGAAGCTCTAATCAACTTAGTAAGACTCTGTCTCAAAGACAAAAAAATAAAAAAAAAAAAAAATAAAAAAAGGGCTGGGGATGTATGTAGCTCAGTGGTTGAATACCCCTTGGGTTCAATCCATGATTACCAAAAAACAAAAACAAAAACAAAAAAACCCCAAATCTCTATTCACATCACAAATTTGCTTTGCTTACTCAGGCACACTCAGTATTTGGTTTAGAGAAGAAGCTGGATGGATCACAACAATTCCGTCCAGAATTACTCTGAGAAATGGATGTTTCATTTATCATCTGACCCTTGGCCCTCTATAATGCCAGGATATCAATCAAGATATTTTATGACAAGATAACTAGCTTGAGACTATCTAGTTAGGCAGTGATTCCCCACCCTGGCTGCATATCAGAATCTTTTTTTTTTTTTTTTTTTTGGCACTGGGTATTGAGTGGTGCTCCACCACTGAGCTACATCCATAGACCTTTCTATTCGGAGACAGGGTCTTGCTAAATTGCTGAGGTTGGTCTCAAATTTGCAACCCTCCTGCCTCACCCTTGGAAGCAGCTGGGATTACAGGTGTGCACCCCATGTCTGAAACAGGAAGCTTTTTAAAGCCCAAGCTGCACAACAGACCAATTAAATGTGAATGTCTGGAAGGGGTCTCATCCAAGATAGAGAACCACTGGCCTAGGTTAACAGGTTTCTTAACAGAAAACATAAGTTCAGTGTTCATCCAAGCCAGAGGGTGTTAAAAATCTATGGCTTCCTTCTAGACTCACGGATTTAATATGCTTCAATGAAACTACCTAGGTATTTCTCACCTTTTTCCCCCTTAACTAATCCCTTTGTCCAGAATAGGCAGCAACATCAGCAGTAAAGTACTGATTTAGGTTAAGTCTGCACCTTAAGTATGAATTATAGCAAAACATAAGGAGGCAAGCCTGGGACAAGACTCTGAGCACAATCAATCAAAAAGCCAGAGGAAAAACTTTTCCTCAGCAGGAATTAATTCCTGAGTCTAGCATGTTAGCATGGCTGTTAGGCTGAGAACTAGTCTACAGTTAGAGCTGTGGGGAACAGATTCACATAGTTCGCCACCTCATCTCCTCAGGATTCATGCTGCGTTCCAGCAGGAATTACTCTATCCATTGTAACCCTTCTTTGGAAGTTTACATGTTCTCTACTCCCCACTTGCTTACCAGTAAATACTTATCTATTAGTGCCCCAAAGTAACCCCTAAAACATCTGAAATGGATCATGCTCTCATTTCTACTCCTGATAGAGAATCCCTGTTAGACAACACCACCAATCACACCACGGGAATGAAGAAGTGGAACACACTCGAGGATGACTGCTGAGGCCAGCCCTAACCCGTGGCAGTCGCAAGTGTTCAAGAGATAGGCAGGCTGACTGGACCTAGTGTGTTATGTGCTAATGCCCCAGCAGGAAAAGACAGCGGAAGCTAGTGGATGCTACATTGGACTTTATTATTAGGTCTGCCTAGAGGCCTTTTATTACTGAAACCAAATCTCCATTCAAGTGAAGCCATCTTGACTATTACAACAGTATCAGCAATAAAAACAAGACTCTCTCTTTGGAGTGATTAAAAGCAAAACAGCTCATCTGAAAACCTTTGTCATGCACACATCCATGTAAGATATTGGCAGAGACTCATTATCAGGAAAAGATGGTTAATCTTCCAGTCCTGCCAAAATGGACCACAAATGGCAACTAAAAAAGAAAACTGGCACTCAAACAAATATTTCACCTCATTAGAAAGCACTGGGTGCATCCTTAAAAACAAATGGCGCCCACCTCCACAGGCTACTCTTGGCAAGCAGAAGCCAGGGGATAGAAGCGCTAAGCCTCATTGTTCCAACACTTTTCATTTCGGCAACACATAAAACATTAATATCTGCACATGATAAGAATTTCAGACACTGCAGCCTTGTTCTGGGCCTGGTTATCCTTTGCTTGCTTCAGAAAGCTCCACTCTTTCTTCAGCCAAGTGCTCAGAGGTAGAGGAGCTGAAGTGAGTTATGGAAGAGAAAGGGGGTGGACAGTAGCTGAGGGAATCCAGCTCCTGCCTAAGGGCAATCTTGAATGTGCTCAGTCTCTAGTGGGAGGTAGAATATTCTACACTGACTTATCTGCCTTCATTAAATACCTTTTTCTCACATGCGTACATAAACGCACATACATACAGCTGGCAACTCAGCAATACTGCCATTCACAGCCACAGGAAGCCTACCCACAGTTACTTTCAACTAAATCTCATATCAACCCCCAGTCCTTCTCAGGTAGATGCAAGCCACTTTTATTTTTCCGAAGTCTTTACTTTTGCCAGGGTTCTAGACATATATTTCATTGTAACACCTACATCTTTTGTTTTTAAAGAACAGCTGCACTAAGTGGGTACATTGTGTTACAGCATCTTTATAAATAGAAAGTGCAAGAAATAATTTTCTTAGCCAAAATACAAAGTTAACAAAAATCTGTCACAGTCTACTATGCCAAGAATTTGATTTTTAGAATCAATAAGACAGCTAACAAAATGCTTCTATGCTACCAAGCTCATGGTGGATGAGTAAATATATTTATAAACATTTATGAAAAGTTATTAAGAAAATAGCTAAACTTCCCACAAAAGTTATTTGTGTGAACTATCTTTAGTATACCATTCTGTGTTCAATGCACATGCATATACATTTGGAATTATATTAGTGCTATTTTTCCTGGGCCAGTTTTCCAAAAAGAAAACAGGCTAATTCTTAAAAAATTCAAGTTACATGATTTAAAATTATTTTTGTAAAAATATTAGAAATACCATATAAATTCTAAATATTTATGCTATCTGATAGCCATTCCAGGGGTGGATTTAGCCACACTTTTAGTAACCTCTGTTTTAGCACTTGGCTTCCAGAGGAAACATTTTAAGCTTTGTCCCTGCAAAACATTTCTGTTTCTGAGTGGTTCTTAACCACTAGAGTTCCTATGACTCTATAGAAAACTCGTAGATCACCTTCAAATATGTCATCAATATCTGCTTCAAGAAGTGGCTAAAAGCACACATCTAAACCTTAAGCAATTTCTACTCACTTGAGTTGTTGTGATTGGCTTGAAATGGTTTAGACTTGTGATGCTGAAAAGAAAAAAAATAATGTCAATCTATAAGATTCCTTTTTTTTCTGATCTTGTTCTTTTTCATTTCAAGACCACAGAGCTTATTTCTCGTGCAACCACCCAATGAATTCAAACTTAAGAGTCACAGAGAATCTAGAGAAGGGCCCAAAAGCTATAACATAAAGATTTTCATTCCTTAGGACTGCTTTCAAAGGCTTTCTTTGTCACAAAGGGCAGATTTTGAGGTAAGTGGATTATGCCAGGGTGGAAATGAGGATCAAAAAGAGAGTTTTAAGACTGTTATTTTCATATATTAAAATGTTGCTCCAATCTTTTTTTTGTGTGTGTGGTGCTGGGGATTGAACTCAGGGCCTTGTGCATGAGAGGCAGGCACTCTACCAATGGAGCTATATCTCCAGCCTCTGCCCCAATCTCAACATGATAAAATGTGATTAATCTTTATGCTTTAGAATAACCTTAATCATTCCCTCTCTGGTTATCCACTGCAAATGCCAAATGTCTTTTTCCCTTCCCAGCATTTTGTAGAGCCTGAAATTAAGTCTTTGGCCATGAGCACCTCTTTTATTTCCTGCAAAATTGTAATTCCTGAGGCTTGACTTTAGACAGAGATCTCTTTCTATTCGAGAACTGGAGCTGGCCAGTAAGAAGTCTCTACAACTAATTCTCCAGGATCCACTGCCCAGGGAGTAGATAATCTCAAAACTTTTTTTTCTCTTCATGTTTTGCTTTAGGGATGAATGTTCACAGACTAAAACTCACTCTCTGCTCATATTTCTTCTCAAGGCAGGAATAGTCTCATTTTTTCCTAATTATTATTATGAATCAGCAAGAGTTTAAATAAAGCATGCTAAATCTGATAAATGTAGCCCCAAATCAAAAACTTCAGTGATTTATTTAGAATGACAGAAGCTAGTAGCAACTGCTAATTTGTAAAGATTAATGAAATATAAAACTGAGCAATAGATTTTCCTGAATAAAAGGTAGTTAAGCACAAAATTATGCCAGAGGTGTGGAGGTATAGAAGAGACCAAGACAAACAGGTAAAACTTTTAGTATTGTAACAATACGATCCATCCAGTCACACAATAGAAACTCCTATTAAAAACAAATTAGTAGCCATATTTTTCCATACCATAGGAGTTTCTACCCATTTGTAGATGTAAAATTTGGCTGTCATTTCTAATAAACCAAATTCTCCAACAGTAAGCTTTTTACTCTGGAGTTTATTTGGATCAGCATTGATAGTTGTTGTGGCTTCACAGCAAATACGGGCAAATGCTCACAACTTTGAATACAGCACAAAATGAAAAAAATGGAAATTTTGCTATAAATTAAACTTGGGAGGAGGTGAGCAACTAAGGAAATGTGCTACAGGTGTTTGTCTCATTTTCCTTGTAGATCCTTTACTGACCAACAGTAGACAGAATAAACAGTTTCCATGTTACTAACAATTGATAGAAGAATTAAGAAAAAAACAACCTAATGCTACATGTAAGATATTAAAGGTCCCAAATCCCTGACTTGTATTTCATAAAATGGTAGGTTACTTCCTCTCACTTCAGATCTGAGCTGACTAGACTTCTCTGAGAATAGTAAGATGGTGACTCTTGACAGTTATGGACCTTTAAGAGGACTAGCACTTTCTACCCAGCATCTCAGAAGCCTGTGCTGCCACATTACATCTGAATGCCTTCATGAAGAACATATAGAGAGTACCTAATATTCAGTGAAAAGGGAGAGAAGCCCTGCTGGGTCCAACCTTACAACTCTCCCTACAGAAGGTATCAATCATGTGAATGAGATCATCTTGGACCCTCCAGACCAGTCCAACGTCTGCTGAATACCACCAAGTGAACTGAGGCATCACCATAGGAAGCAGAAAATTGTCCAGAAAGCCCTTAACTTCTGATTCACAAAATCATGATATTTGAAATGGTGGTTGTTTTAAGTCATTGAGCTTTAGAGTAGTTCATTGTACAGCAAGGGGTAACTGGAAAATATTTTTTAATATTTGCCTTGGTACTAATTTACTCACTCACAATTAGACCTAGCAAATGGGTGATTCATCTGAATCAGTGGGCAATATCCCCAGCAAACATTTACCATTCAGATCTGCTCAGAAACCAATGGCATTATCTTTTGAAGAGCTCTTATAATCTTTTACTCTTCAATTACAAATTCACAAAAACAAGTACCGAATTGGCTACTGTATAATCCAGCTCATCCTAACTCATAAGCAAATGACACGAGTAGTGAAGATGGTCTGGTCTTTGGAATAAGACTGGTAAATACTGGCTCTGCAATTTACCAGCATGTAACCTTGGGCCTGTTGGGTTCCTCATTTATAAAATGTGGAATAATTTCACCTACTAGAGGTAACACAGACTATTAAGTGTCAGGTTAGGCTGTGCTGCTCAAAATATGCCTGTTTCTTTTCCTCTAAAATGAGGAAATGGGAGTGTTCTAAGTTTTGGATGCATTAAGTAAGGTAAAGCATACAGAACTAAGCACACAAGCATATAAAACAGCTGGCTATTTTTAATACTGTTATCACCTCATAGGATTACTGGACTGACTACAATTATGACTCTAAAGCACTCAGTACAGATAATTCTGGACTTTTCTTTTTGAATATTACCTCGGTAGTGAAAAGTACAGGCTTTTTAAAAGCATATATCCCAGACTCCAAAAGCAAGATTAGGACTGTAAAGTCTGGGAAGTCACATTTAAACTATGTCTAAAGTCAACTTTGTTATACAAATTCCAGGCATGCTGCCTAGTACCAAAGTACTTAATATTTATTTAATGGAATAGCTTCTCCTATATATTATCTATCATGGAAGACGAGTGATTTCAAATAGGAAACAGGGTCCTACAGATACTTTTAACTTCTGGCATTATGGATTAATTCAGATCCTAAGCTTCACAGTATATTAAATTGTGATGTAGGCCATATGAGATGCTGAACACGAGATTCTCCTAACTGGATGGTGCATTCTAGCCTCTTCAACAGGACCTACTGAGTAGACATGAAGATAACAAGCATTTTTTTTTCCATTAAGTGCTCTGACTTTCTAATAGCTTTGTTGTTTAAAGCTTCTGCTTTTTGAGCTAGTGGGTTTCCTTTCATTGGTTAGGATGGGAAGTATTTGTTACATAGGTAATGGGACAGACATAAGATAGGAAACTTATTTACATATGTACCCCCTATAAGATGTAGATTTCAAGTAATGTTTCTTAAGCACTGCTGTGTGTCACAGTTGAAGAAAGACAGTCTGCATAGACAATAAAACTAGATAATCTGTGCAGACATCTTTCAGGCTGGATATCATGGTCCCTATCAATAATTACTTTCTTTGGAATGTAACAAATTCAGATGTTTCAAAGTACTCATAATATCCAACTCCAGCTTGTCCTGAGCAAGAAAGCCTACTTACTTTATAAGTAAAGAGACTGGCCCTTGGAAAAGCACCATTTGAAAATAAGAAGTCTATACAGCATGAGGTCCTGGGTTTGATCCCCAGCACCACTGCAAAACACAAAAAATAAAATAAAATTAACAAGTCTGAAGACAGGGAAAAAAAAAAAGTAGGAAGCAAAGAAGGAAAAAGACTGCAAATTATCAAAGAAGTCACAATGCTTAGCAAACTCCAATGTTTTCAGTTTCAATTTCTCTCACAAGTCCTATATCCCAGATTAATCAGAATTCCAGGTAAATCAGAAAATTAATACTCTCAAATACTAAGAAGCCATGATTACTATGGTATAAGTGCTCTAAGAGAAGGCAGATCTAATCTAGGCAAACATTCTGGAACTTTATGAGGATTACCTATTATTCAGAGAATATTACATATTAAAATTTACAAATATCCAATGAGAAGAGGGCAACTTTAAGCATGAGGAGGTACCCTATAAGAGACACTTACCTACCTGAACTTGGCATATGCTGGTAGGACTCACAACAAAAAAATCAAACTCATGGGACTATTTCAGCATGGTCTGGAAAACTTTGTCCAAATAAAAAAATTTAAATTCAGAAGCTCACATACTGCTTCCAAGAAGCAATTATATTTCCTCTTGCATGGATTTCTGTTTATTAACACCCTAACATTTTCCATTTTATCCCCATCTGATATAAGTAAGCTATTTTAACACAAGAATGAAGATTCATAAAGCAAAAATGTAATGGTCCAATATAAGCTCAAAAGAATTACAGACAACAACACAGATAGGAATATAAGTCAAACAAGATTGTTTCACTATTTTAAAATATCCAGAAAAAGATAAAAAACAAAAAGGAGAAAAATTTGGCTTTTTACTACTCCACATAGGAATAGAGTAAGTTTACTTGAGGAAATTAAACTGAAGATTTATAAGAAGGAAAAGTTATAGGTTTCTAATCTAGGAAACTGTGCTTTGGATAAGAATCAAAATACCTATTCATTGGCTGGGTGTGGTGGCATGCCAATAATCCCAGTGTCTCAGAAGGCTGAGGCAGGAGGATGGCAAGTTTGAGGCCAGCCTCAGCAACTTAGTGAAAGCTGTCTAAAAACAACTTTTAAAAAGGGGTTGGGATATAGCTTAGTGGTAGAGCACTTGTATAGCTTGTACAAGACCCTGAGTTCAGTCCCCAAAACTGCCCAGAGAGAATGAGAGAGAGAAAGAGGGAGAGACAGAGAGAGGGAGAGAGGGGGTGAAAGGAGGGGGACAGAGAGAGAGGAAGGAAGGAAGGAAGGAAGGAAGGAAGGAAGGAAGGAAGGAAGGAAGGAAGGAAGAGATGCTTAAAATGACAGTATGAATATAACTATTATAACAAATTTTGGGAAGCAAATCTTCTAAATCTAATTCAGGAGATTGCAATTTTTTCTGTCAAAATTCTAGACAGTAAATATTTTCAAGCTTTGCTGTTCATGTACTCAACTTCATCATTACAGTAGAAAGAAACTGTAAACAATACCTGGGTGAATAGGTGTGGCCCTGTAATCATCTAACATGATTTTCTTTATACAGTAGGTGGCCTTAAGATTTGAGTCCAGGGCTATGGTTTGCTGAACCCTGACCATAAGCCCTAGGGATATACTTTGCTAAGGGGTACGTTCTTAAAATTAGGAATCTACCTGAAAATTGCTTATTGTCCCTTTTCTAAATCTTAGCTAACAAATTAGTTCAATGGTTTATTAATTATTTTTTGCAGTATTGGGAATCGAACTCAGAGACATTCTACCATTAAGCTACCCCTAGACTTTTATTTTTTTATTTTGAGACAGGGTCTCACTAAATTGCCAAAGTTGGCCTTGAACTTGTGATCCTCCTGCCTCAGCTTTTCAAGTTGTTGGGATTATAAGTGTGTACTACTGTACCCAGCTTATTTCAACATTTTAAACAATTTATCATATGGCATAAGTAAAGAACTGCACTTTTAAAGAGTAAGTTCAATAAAGATTCATCTGTCATTCTTTGAACAAATAAGGAGAACAATTGAGAAGAGAAAAAAATCATGCCTGCTGTATCTGAAAAACGAACATCTAGGATTCTGACTCCTTTCTGATGCCTTTTCCACTGTGATTAAGACTTAATTGCATTTACTTTTCTTTCTCCATTTCTTTCATTTCTTAGAATTTGATCTTCTAGTCAAACAAAATGTAGTTTTCACCCATTAAAAGAAACATAATTAGTGTCATATAACTAAAACTTTGTAAAAGTCATTTCACAACCACAGATCACTCAGCTATAAGAAATGAAGTTCCAAATTTCACACTTCACCAGGTAACTTCCAACCAAAGTCAGTCGTCAACTATGAAATGAGGAAACAGCCTAGGTCTACTTTCATACCACCTTTGTAAAGTCCTGCTTCACTGATAGAGGGAACCTGAAACACGAGAAAGTGCCAAAAACACAGGAAAACGTTAACTGCTATCTCTCTTCTTTTCCAATCTTGATCCTTTACAAACTATTTTTTTATACATTCACCCTTAGATTTAACTCTTTAGCGTAATAAATGGTGTGGGGTAGACTGCAAGTTACATAAAGTAAAATGCAACGCAGTTCAGAGGTAAATATGGTTTTGAGTAAAGAGAGAACAAGTCATTAGAAAGAGCCTTTCTGCCTAAGTACAGTGTCACCGTCATGCCAATGCTACATTTTATACAGATATCAGAGAGAATGAAAGGTACATCCTAAAATGAAAATAGGTTAATATGTTGCCATATGTCTTCTTCTGCAGAGAATACTGGATAGCTCCTTTGCTATTAAGTGCCACTCAATAAATGAAAACAGTCCCAGTGTTTGCAATCTCATGGCACTGGTACTTAATGATGAATTAGCTCTCATTGCTAATGCTGCTCTCTTCACAAGGTGACACGTGCAAGTTAAAGTTTGGTAATGAGTTTTCAGCATTAGCTAACGTCCATTTAGCATGTCCTTAAGAGGTATTGTCCATGCACCCACCAATACAAGCATTCATTAACGTACATAGAACTTAAACTCCTATGACCCTAAGAGTGATGTTAGCTAAGAAATAGGACAAAAATCACAGTGAACCTGGAAAAGAATCTTGGATAGATAATTAGAATAATATCTCTTCTAACTAAGCTAGGGAAATTGGTTTTAGAAGCTTCAATTTGTTTACAAGCTAGCCTGGCTTGAATTTTCAGAAATTTCATGGCTCTCGCTAGGCCTAAGGGGAGAGAACAAGCGAACCTGATTGTGCTAATGTGGTCCTAGATAACCAGGAAGTGCTCCATTCACAGTATCAACACAGTAAAAACCTGTAAGAGAATGAAAAGGGAGGGGAACCCAGCAAACGCACAGCATCTGCATACCACTTAGACCCTACTTAGGCAGGATGTTTGTTTCTAACCCTGGATAGAGCACTGCCAGATGCTGCAGTTTCTTGTTACAGAAATTACTGCACTTCACTTTTACAATTTGGTAATAGTGTAAAAACTCTATTTTCTCATATATATTCTAAGAAATTAACAAAGCAATACAGAACTTTTCCACATACTATTTCTCAGAAGTAGGGAGGAACTTGAAAACTTTTTTGGTAGGCTTAAAAGCTCCATCTTCTGTCTTTCCCATCCCTGCCTATGTAGTAATGGCAAATTCTGTCACTGAAAGCCTCTTGACTGCTGAGATGTTTTCCTAAGGATGTGAGTCTAATCTCAACTCCATGTTTTCGATGCCACAGAGCACAGCCAATTCCCAATATTGCTCTAAGGGACAGTTTTCACCCTAGCATGCTGTTGCCCAACAAGGGAGGAGAAGGACCCACTGGGTATCCTGAAGGCCGACACAACCTCAATGCTGCCCTTCAGGGTAGGCTCTTATCAAATGGCAGCAACATCACATTCCTCTAAAAGATGAATTTCTACACTTTTCCAGAAGAGAAAACCTTCCTCTAGTGAAAGAATGCAGCTGTATGCATATGTACAATTCTCAGATTGCTTAAAGCTACGCTTTGCATTCTAATTTATCACCAAAAAAAAAAAAAAATCTTTTCTATCCATCTTTCCATGTACCACAAAATATCCTCAGGAAAGGAGCACGTGACTAACATTCTCACAAATGGCTCAACAGTGCAGGAATGACCAGCCTTCTCCCAAATCTCTTTCACAATCATCTATGTCTCTGCACCAAAACAATTTGTTAAATCATTACATATTCAAATATTTTTTTAAAAATCAAGAGAAGTGAGAGATTTTTCTCTTGTTATTTGCACTGTGAGTTTTAAGCATTTCTTTGCCTGCATCCCTTAATGTTCCAATATTTTCTCTTTTCTCTCTCCATGTAAACCAGGGCATCAAAAGCTCTACATGTTTGGTAAGTTCTTTATCTCAGTGCTGGATTAAGAATCTCAGAAAAACCCAGAATTACTAAAAAGTTCCCTTGAAGTTTTAAAAATCTTAGGAATGATTAAGTAACCAAACCTGATCAAAACTGATCCTTTGATCATTTATTGCAACATGATTGTGCATGATGTTTTCTGGTAAGTGCCCTGTAGTGCGTTATTAAAAATCAAAGTTCTTGGAGTCAGCAGCAATTTGCTGATGGTTGGTTTATGAATTTCTAGGTTTGCAGACTCGAGACATAGATTTAAATGAGGTTCTTCATTGGACTGAAAATATAAACTACTACGTATGTAGAAGTAAATGAAATTGTGGTTGCAGTAAGAATAATAGTGCTAAATCTCTTCAACCACAATATTGCAGGAAAAAATGTGTCTAAAACTTCATATAAAAGTTATCAAACGTGACGACCTGTGGATTTAAAAATACAACCCAGGCTCAATTCACTGGAAAGTGACATTTCTGATGTACAATATTGCTGTTATGTGAAACTAGGAGCCAAAGAGACTGGATGAAACTTTGGTAGTCAGCCTAACAGGTTAATTCATCTGAACTAGAGCCATTTCCTTAACACCAAAGGATTCATGAGCACTATGCTGAACAAATACCAGCCAGGAAGCTGCAGTTTGGCTCTGTGCTGTTCAACATTTGTAAAACATGGAAACACTTCCTTCCCTGCTCCTCTCTTCCTCAATACATCACTCAAGCCCCCAAGTGCAGCTATACCTATTGCAAACACTTTGCTACTCATTTTACTTCCAGGTGCCTAAAGTGCTTCAGGTGAGGCTGCCCACTAGAATACTGCTCCAAGATGGCTGACGACATGAGTCGATCAGGCAAAGTATCAGATGCCTAGTCAGGGCAAAGATAAAGTCTAACCTTGCAGAACAGTAAGAACCACCAGTATTCACTCTTTTTTTCTTGATGTGAAAATTCACATTCCGGCAGGGAAGGAAGAGGAGAGATTCTTCCTCCTCACCATCATGACTACCTCCTCTCTCGTGGCTGGCTGCTTCAGATGGCCAAGACTCCTGTTGCATTTTTTAGATCCTGGCAATTACAGCCACCAAGATGTTATGGACCAAAGTACAGTGTTCAAACACAACTGGTAGATAAATGACCATTTATCATAGTTTTGCTAAAAAAAATGTTTTTCTTATAAAGTTAACAAACCAAGGCTGTTGATCCCTGAATTAGAAAGTTGATTTGCTTGATTTTTTCCAAAGTGTGAGGAGGGAAGGAGGAGGGGAAGAGCCTTTAGTCTTCTGTGTATGTTGTTGATCCTCTAGTTTGGCAACATCTTGGGAGCGTCTTCTGGTTTAATGAGGTGGCATTTTGTGAATCTAAGTACCAGTCCATGGCCCTGATGCAGGCTGTTTACGGCCCAAAGGGGAAGAGGGTCTGCCCCCTCCCCCTCAATGTCTCAATCTGGCCCAGTGGTGGACACAGAGCCCTGGGCAGTTTCCCCAGGAGCAACTGTCTCTTCCCGGGAAGGTGACTCTTCTTCAGCTTGTCCTCGAGATGTGACAGTCGTTTCAGGAGAGATGCTGTGAGGCCCCTCCAGGGGTATACAGCCAGGGTGGTTTTTACGAAAGTGCTGATTCAAGATGGCCTGGAAGGGAAAACTTTTGCCACAGACATGACAATGAAAGGGCTTATTGCCTGTGTGCTTGCGTATATGATACTCCAGCTGATCTTTCCGGGTATACTTCTTGCCACACATGCGGCAGACAAATGGTGTGATCCCCATATGTAGGCGCATATGGCGGTCTAGGCTCCCCTTCTGGTTGAAAGATTTTGCGCAATAGATGCAGGTGAGACGGGGATTGTATTGGAACCACCGTTCAGATACTTCCTGTTCTCGGAGATACTCCACATAGCCACTTACTCCCATCATTGCTGATTCTTCTACCTGTTCCAGGAGAGGAAAATAAGCAAGAATAAACTAAGCATACATGTTAAAAGCAATCAAAATATTCTCTATATATTTATATATGTATGTGTGTGTGTATATATATTTTTAATGGCACTGGGGATTGAACCCAGGGTTTCATATGTGTTAGCAAGTGCTCTACCCTTGAGCTTCTTCCCTGGCTCTTTTCTTACATTTTACTTTTTGAGATAGGGTTTTGGTAAGTTATACAGGCTGTCCTCAGACTTGCCATCCTCCTACCTTAATCTTCTAAGTAGCTGAGATTATAAACCTGTACCACCATACCCAGTTTTTGATTAACTGAAATATAAATTCAAACACCACATATGACAGCAGCCAATGGATACTGTGTCAGACAGTACAGAAGAGATAATGGCAAACATAATATAAATTATATTTATGACATCATTATTACCATATTTCAACCAGCAGCAGCTAACTTTATAAAAATGTATATAATTTATAGGTGATGATATGCCTTTCTACCCCGAAATATTCTGATACCATATCAATAGATTATCTTCATTCTAAAAACTCCTCAAACTGGGCATGGTGGTGCATGTCTGTAATCAAAGTTACTGAGGAGGCTGAGACAGTAGAATTACAAGTTGGAAGCCAGTTTTGGTATCTTAGTGAGACCCTGTTTCAAAACAAAATAAAGAGGGATCATGATGTAGTTCAGTGGTAGAGTACCCCAGGGTTTAATCCTCATTACTGAAAAACAAAACAAAACAAAAAGAAAATAAAAAATTACTCAAAGTTTATCTGATTTCAGAGTGAGGTTTCTCCTATCTGAAAGCTGGGAGGGAGAAGGAATATATTCCTTTTGAGAATTATTTAAAATTTTAGATTTATAAATGCTTTTTGGTTCAAAAATTCTGTATTAAAATCTCACTACTCAGAAATTACTTACTGAGGGGCTGTGGTTGTGGCTCAGTGGTAAAGTGCTTACCTAGCACTTCTGCACCACACAAAAATAAATAAATAAACAAACAAATAAATAAAAGTATTGTATTTATCTACTACTAAAAAGAAAACAAATTACCTACTGACTTTTTTAGCCTATTGACTTCTAAGTTATTGTATTAAAAAAAATTAAAAAAAAATGTTGTAAGGAATGACATATGTTTTGCAGAGGCTGAAGTACCAAGGCAAAGAGGATAAAATGTCAACACTGACTCTGGATTAACTAGAGAAAGTCTACCTAGTTAACAATTAATCTACCAATCTCGAGCTTTTTTTTTTTTTTTGGTAGATGGACACAATACGTTTATTTTATTTAATTTATTTTTATGTGGTGCTGAGGATTGAATTCTGTGCCTCACATGTCCTAGGCAATTGTTTTCTACCTCTGAGCTACAGCTCCAGACCAACTCTCCTGAGTTTTTGTTTCATGTTAGCTGACAGTGCTTTTTTTATAAAGCATTTTAAACAGAGGCAGTTCTTAACAGATTTGGGAAGCAGCATGTTAAATCAAGGGTTGAAGAGAAAGTCTGAAGTTTATTTCTGATTCATTTTATATAACATTTCTTTCTGCTTTATTTCTCTAGATAATCAAAATGAAAATCACATAAAGAACGATGAATTATCCCACTAAAAAGTATTAGGTGATCAAGGACAAAGCACAGGATAACTTCCCTAGGCTAGTCCTCCCATTCACAAAATGAAAAGGCTATTTTAAGTGTTGCCAACTTTTAGGGATTCTCATGAGAATCAAACAGAATAATACCCTAAAATATATTTTTAAATTTTGCTTATTTATTTTTTGGCAGGGTCTCACTATGTTGCCCCAGACTCAAGCAATGCTCTTCAGTTAGCTTCCTGCATAACTGGGGCAACAGATGCTGGCCACCATACCCAGCTACACTTAAATATCTTGAATGCATAATATTACATATAATTAAGGGTGCTGGAACATGGATTCAAATTCAAGTTCCATTTATTATTTCACCTTAAATAAGTTAAATTTAACTATTCTATTCCTCAGTTTGCTCATCTCCAAAATGAATATAATAATAACCATCTCCCTCACATGCTGCTTTGAGCACTGAATGAGTTTATACACTAATATGCTTAATGTAGCTCAGTAACTATTAGTTATTATTAAATATTACATAAACATATATATGAAAAAAAGTTTTTCCTGACCTATTTCCTCCCTGCTCAGTGGTACCTGACCAACTTTAAATTCATATTATTTATTTATTTTTTTAAAATAATTTTTTTTTAAATATTTATTTTCTAGTTATCGGTGGACACAACATCTTTGTTTGTATGTGGTGCTGAGGATCGAACCCGGGCCGCAGGCATGCTAGGCAAGCGCGCTACCGCTTGAGCCACATCCCCAGCCCAAATTCATATTATTTATAATCTTGAGGGTATGATTCCATAAATATCCTTCCTAACATTAAGAAGTATTGTCCACATGCAGAAGGTAATGTATTTAGTAAATATGGATGAGCTATGATCACAAAAATCATTCATTATGATCAATCTCATTTAAAAGGCTACTGTAGTAAAGCTGCAATATAATTGTAAATGTGTAATAGTGGTTTAAGCACGAACAAAAAAGACAAGGCTAATTAGGGCACATGAAACTAGCAGCTGAGCTCCACGAGGACCCAGGAAGAATGAGGGGTATCAGATACACAGTGAGAGAAATAATATGATGGGCTTGTGACACATAGAGAAAGCTGTTAAAAACATTATAAATTATGTAGAAAATTAGGTCAAGGTCAGGCATGGTGGCACATGTATGTTATTCCAGAGGCTCAAGAGGCTGAGGCATGAGGATGACAAGTTCAAAGCCAGCCTCAGCAACTTAGGAAGCCCTAAGCAATTCAGTGAGACCTGTCTCAAAACAAAATATTTAAAAAGGGCTGGGGATGTGGCTCTGTGGTTAAGTATCCCTGAGTTCAATCCCTGGTATTGAAAAAAAAAAGGAAAATTAGGTCAAATATTTTTAACTTTCACATGGCAGAAAAAAGAAAAAGCTATAGAAGATTTTTAAATAAAGGAATGACTTCAGTAGTCTCTTATAGTTTATTTACCCTATAATCAGGAAGTGCTTCAAGTCTATCAAAATTTGTCCTCAATGCCAGGTGCACTGGTGCATACCTGTAGCCCCAGTTCTCAGGAGGCTGAGGCAGGAAGGAGGATCACAAGTTTGAGGTCAGCCTGGCTGTCTTGGCAAGACCCTATTTCAAAATAAAAAATAAAAAGGCTGGGGACATAGCTCCATAGTAAAGTACTCCTGGATTGAATTCCCAGTACAAAAAAAAAAAAAAAAAGAAAGAAAGAAAAAAATATATAAAATAAAATGAGGTTCTTATAATGTAAATCCCTGCCCTGCTTTGGTCCTCTGCAGCAGGGTAAACTGGGGAGCAGAGTCAATACACTTTCATACATGTTTAGGCATATATATCACCCCTTAATATCATCTCCAGACAGTACTGCTTATTTTCTATTCCTTAATAGCCTATACCTTTTGTTTCAGCCAGCTAAACAATTTGAGAATTCCAATTCTTATCCCTATCCCATCTACAAGTGGAATAAATTACTTCTTCCTAACTTCTTCAAAACTGCATTTATAGCTGGGCAGGGTGGTAGTGTGTGTCTATAGTCCCATCTACTTGGGAGGCTGAGGCTGAAGGATTATCTAAATTCAGGAGTTTGATGCCAGCCTGGGCAACATAGTGAGACACCTCATTAAAGAAGAAGAAAAACAAAACAAAACAAAACAAAACAAGCCAGGTGTGGTGGCGCACACCTGTAATCCTAGAGACTCAGGAGGCTGAGGCAGGAGGATGGGAGGCTGAAGCAGGAGGATCATGCGATCAAAGCTAGCCTCAGCAACCTCAAGGCACTAAGCAATTGAGTGAGACCCTATCTCTAAAATAGGGCTGGGGATGTCGCTCAGTGTTCAGTGTCCCTGAGTTCAATCCCTGGTACTGCCTCTGCCGCACCCTCTCCCCCCCAAAATAGAAAGAAAAACAGAATGAAACAAAAAACATGAAAACAAACAAATAACAAAAACAAAGTTAATTCACTTTCCTTAAGTGGATACTGATTTTAATTACAGCCTATTAAGTACATCTATTCCTATAAAAATGTTACTGAAATCTATATACATCATATTTTTTTTTTTTATTCACTGGTCTGTCTTATCTCTGTCCCCATTAAGCTTCTAAGATTATCTCATTACTATATTTATTTGTTTAACCAGTTATCTTTGCATGGTTATCATACCATATTTGACAGATGAAAAAAAGGGCCCCAATTATGAGAATAAACTACTTTTCCTCCAAGTTCCTGACATTTTCTCTAAAATCTAATAAAAAAAAAATCACAGTTTGTAACAATGTCTGTTACTACTTTACCGTGTATATCATAAACATCCAGTGGTTTAGCTAACAAGATACAAGTATAATGCAGAGGTTAAAAAAATTATCCATGCAATCTTAATCTATTAGTGCTTTTTCTTTTTCAAATTTATTTTTTAGGTGTAATTGGACACAACGCGTTTATTTTATTTATTTATTTTTATGTGGCACTGAGGCTCGAAACCAGGCTCCGAGTACTTTCTTTTAAAAGGCAAAAGTATCTAATTTACTGTGTTCTACTTGGTGAGTTTACCACTTTCTAAAAGCTCAATTTTCAATTATACAAATTCTTGAGAAAAAACAAAATTAATTGATTAACTTCTTATACTAGTTGCTAAAGAAAAGATATTCCTGGTCTTTCTAGAACACTGTAATCTAACAAAAGATGCAGGAAGCTGGGTACAGTGGTGCACACCTGTAATCCCAGCAACTCGGAGGCTAAGACAGGAGGATTGCAAGTTCGAGGCCAGTCTTAGCAACTTAGCGAGACCCTCAGCAACACAGTGAGATCCTGTCTCAAAACAGAAAATAAAAAGGGCTGGGACATAGCTCATTGCTAAAGTATCCCTAGGTTCAATCCCTAATACAAAGTTTAAAAAAAAAATTCAGGAAGAGAATAAATGAAAAAAAATACATGCATACAAAACAGCACACATTTGAAATGTATAAGCAATCTGTTTATACATACATACTATTATAAGTTAGTTACTATGTTTTGGTGTCATACTCTCACACATACAAAATCATACACTTTCTCTTCTGGGTCCTAAATTACCTGCATGTAGTTTTCAGCAGATAATTTTACTGTCAGGAATAGAGATTGGCCCCTACAATCAGGAAAGAGTATCACAATCTTGTTATTTTTTTTTTTCTACTTCCCAAACAATATTGAAGCCAAAAATGTATTTCTGGCAAGCTCATAAACAAGAATAAAGTAATCAAATATTTCTTTAGCAAGGCCACTACATCTTTCCTTTCATTCATTAAATTCTGTTCAGTCAGTGGTAATTCCTCCAGTTATACAGCAGCTGTAAGCCCACAACAACATACCTGGGAGCTTGGCTGCTTGGGCTCATCCACTCTCCCGGGAGACTCACTTCGGGCTCTGTGTCTCTCAGCCAAGGGGACAACACTGCCGGAGGGGCTGAATCTGTTGGAGAGGAGCATAAAGGTACTATAGAAAAGTAGTGGCTGAGGAAGGGACAACCAAGCAACTGATGACTGAAAAATACTTTCACAGTCAATATATAACCTGGTTTGAAATAAGGTAAAAAAGTCTGTCCTAGTAAATTTAAAAAAGTACAAAATGCATAGTAAGTCCTATGAGCTGGTGAAACTATAGCTAAATATAAGCTTTCTACCCCTGCATAAGTACTGGAAAAGGGGTAAAAGAATAAATAAAAAATGGTTCCGTAACATTGGGTTTTTGGTTGTTCTTTCCCCTAGACCCCATTGTGGGAAGCCATTCTCGCACGTGATTGGGCACCTCCCGATTGGGTGTGAGGTGTTCTGGCCACACTGTGTCGGAGCTATCCCCACCCTCTCCAGAGCCTGTCTGTGTGGGGGTGTGACTGACCATTGACCCTGAGACCAATCACTGACCCTGACCTTGGAATGCTGCCCCCCTTGACCTTCATTGGATGGAATTTTCCCCCTGAATTTCTTGTTCCCCAATAAAAAGCCACTCCCTGATGTGCTCTGTCTCTCTCCTGCTAGTCCTGAGTAAGCCTTGCTGCCCCACCAGATGGTTTGAGGTGAGAGTCAGAGGGGAGAGCCGTCTCAGACCTGGTCATAGAAAAAGGTAATTGAGTCTGTGTGTTTATTTTGATCTCACTAGTTAACTTCTATGCTACGAACCTCTTTAATGAAACCAGCGTGCTGGTCGCATGGTGGACCCCATTATAACCTGTTACGTATTTCAGGCTGTTGACATACATCATGAAAAATACAATCCTTGCATTTAAATTGATATTTTTGTTGAAGTTCTAACATAGGAAAATACAGTGCTAACATTGGGACCAATAAGTTGAACGTTCAAAAATATATATACATATATATTTTTAATATATTTTAGTTATAGATGGACATAATACCAGGGCCTCACACATGCTAGGCAAGCACTCTACCACTGAGCTACTACCCCAGAATATTTTAACTATTAAAGGCACACTTAATAGTTAATTACCTAAATCAAAACCACCTTAAGTAGATACAGTATAGTATCTGAATGTGTGAAACAGTAGTGTCTCTAAAGATCAGCTATATGCCAAAGAAATGGTATCCTTAGTTTTCATTGCTCAATTTTAATTAATTAATTAAATTTTTGGAACTAGGGATTGAACCCAGTGGCATTTACCCACTGAGCCACATCCCCAGCCAATCTTTTTTTTCAATTTGAGACAGGGTCTTGCTAAGTTGCTGAGGCTGGCTTTGAACTTGTAATCCTCCTGCCCCATAGCTTTCTTAGTTGTTGGGGTTACAGATGTGCACCACCATGCCTGGCTAATTTTTATTTACTTTTAAGAGGAGAAAGAACAAATATTACAATATAAATTATTTCTTTGTTTCAATTGGCTTAGATTAAAATTAGTGCTATTTCCATCAAAGAGAAATGTTCTAAAAAATTTGATGTATTAGGAAGAGAGAAGTGAGGTACAGGACACAGTACCACTGGTGAAAAAAGGACAGTCTCAGGTTTGCAGTAGCAGCATTCATCTTTGACAGAGAACAGATAAGAGACTACCAGATGACAAGTGAAAATAAGAATGAAGAATATCCAAAAAGCTTTTCTTTGGATTCAGTGTACTATGTTGACACTAATGTGAAACAAACAATCACTGATGATACCACACTTCCTCTAATTTGTTAGGTGGGCGCAAAGAAAAGCATATAGTGCTACAAAAGGAAAGTTTAACTTCCCAAGGCACATACCTGTGGGATAACCAAGGAAGGGCAATGCTGCCAGGTTCCTAACTGATGATCAGTTCCCTGGCGGGAATCCTGAGAAAGCCCTGGCAATGACTGATCCTAGTGTGGCTGCAGATGTTGATTCATGGAGGTGTCTAACTTTACCCTAGTTCTCACAGCATTGTGACTACGTCATGACTAGGAGCTTCCTGCTTTAAAAAAATAAGGATACAAGTCTTTTGGACACCTCAAATCCCCAACATTAACTTATTCTGGTTAAGTACATCTGGTAAACATGTCTGTATCACACAGAGGACCCTCTTAGTGATGTCTGTACAAGAGCCATTAGAAGGGAAAAAACTCAGAACTTACCGGTCAACTTCACTGCTTGTTGGCCGAGCCACCTTGGCTCCTGAAGACCCTAAGGTGTAACTCTCCTGTCCTACAGAACCATGGCCTGTGGTGTCAATTACCATGGCTGTGACTTCCTCTGCACTACTCCCATCTTCTCCAGAAGGCTGATTCTCAGGCCCAAGCCACTCCTCGAGATTTTCAGTTTTGATGTGCACTGCTCCAAGAACCCTAACTTCATCATCACTCCGGCCACCCCGGTCTGCTACTCCTGTCTCCACATACCACTGTCCTGCTCGGTTGATTCGAAGAATGGGCTCCCGGCTTTCTACATCAGAACTCTGTTCAATTATCTGAGGGCTGGTGGACTCCTCAGGGGGACTTAGCTCTCTGATGTCTAGCACAGCACTGACCTGCCCTCGTCGGTTTCCCTTTGGGGTATTATGTCGTGGGCTAAGGGAGCGGTTTAGATTTGGTGTAACCCTGTGAGACTCAGGAGGCCTATCTTGATGCTTTGTCCTTGTTTGACTTAATTCTGCTTCAACCTCAGCCACATTAATTTTGAAATGAATACCCTCTAGGATCTGTGTACATTTGTCTATAATATGCTGCATTTGCAGAAAACTGGCAGCTGTTAGGTAGCTGATGATATCTGCCAGTTGCAGGCATATCCGCCCCGTGTAACAGAAAGAAAGAAGCTGTTCAAAAACAGTAGGGTTCTTGATGACTGAAATGGAGACAGTACTCATTTCATTCAAGGACATATGATCCCGGAAATAGGGGGAACTGGCAGCCAGTACCACTTTATGAGCCCGAAAAGCTTGTCCTTGCACATTGACCACAATATCACAGAGACGGCCCTGCATGCGCAGTTGATTTAGATGGCTGAGAACTGAGTTGCTGAAGTCAGGGATCTCCAATTGTATGTTCCCACCTTTCTCCATGGTCGTGCCTGAAGGTGCAGGCAGGCATTCAACCCTGCTGAAAGAAACCGTGTTCTCATTAATCATAATTTTATTACCCTGATGCTTTTTAGTTCAAACATACTTAAAAATATCATTTGGTAAAATCTCCAAGTACAAAGAGATACCTTATGTTGAGATATGGAAATCATATTACCAACAGGTTTTTTAGTCTGTTTCACAGCAAGATAGTTAACGTTAAAAAAGCAATCTTTAGACTCCTAAAAATTCAAACTATGATCATGCTCTCTTTATACAACAGCAAAACAGAAGTTTGACAAAAGGGAGGAGGGATGTTAATGGCAATGTATTTGCAGACTGAATATAAAGTCCTATGACAACATTACAACTTTGAAGGAGGAAAGCTTTTTGAATAAATGTATCTACACACAGATAGACTGACTGGATATACCTCTTAACGTTTTAAAACATGCTGCTTAAGTTATGCTTATTACTTTGTAAAGTGACTAATATCCCATATGAATGCAGGCCAATTTTTAAGTTTACAAGTCAGAGCTCCCACAGTAAGCCTTTGGATATGGCACTCTGAGGCAAACCCTATATTGAGAAAAATTCTGCAGCTGTGTCAGGAATCAAATCAAAACACAGAGAACTTCAAAGTTCAGTTCTCAAAGTTAGGAAAGGTCATGAAATCTGCCACTATTCGAATTCGAGGTTGGGAATTTCAGAGTGGTGATGATACTTTGATATTGAAATTTACTTCCCTAGAGCTGGTAACAATAGAACATTTACAAATACATCGAAAGAATGCAACTGCATCCAACTGTTTTTAATAGTTTATAGAGTACAGTTTGTAGAAATCCCATAAGGAAGACAATGCTTTAAGTCCAGTGCACCTCCACTTATCTAAAGTTTTATAGTCATAGTTGTATATGCCTTGAAACTGCAGGAACTTAAGAAGCTCACAGCATTGCCCCGCATTGACAACACATTTATCAGTAAACAGGGAAGTGTACACACTGCTTTCAAGAACCAACTTTAGCCAATCTGACCTTTTTCCAAAGCGTTATTGTTTGTTTTGAAACTTTTAATCCAATAAGAGCCTCTGTCGATGCCATCATGAATTCAGATGTGTTTATTTTGGAGCCTACACCAGCGCCTTTTTTGTTTGCTCTTTCCGGCAATTGCCCAGTGAGGAGGAAGACCCTGGAGTAAAGTCTTTCTCTACCGTCGGCACTGGAGGAGTGAGAGCTGAAAGAGGGAGAATCGGGATCGCCATGGGGTTGGCCACTCTGGAACTTGAGCGGCTTTCGTCTGCGTTAGGAAGCGTGGGGAAAGGGAACAGGCTGAGGGGCGACAAGTCACGTAGGAACGAGCAGCGGGCGCAAAGGTGAGGGCTGAGCACTGGGAAGGGGGCGGCGCCCCGGGCCCGGGTCCAGGCGGTGCGTCGCGGGCGGGGAGCGGCCGGAGGTGGGTGTGTGCATCTGGGTGTGTCCCGGCGGCCCGGGGGAGGGGGCCGCCCACCCGGGGTCTTGAGGGAGGGGCCCCGCGAGAGGGCGGGTCTGCGGCTCGGCCCGGCTCGGGGCCAAAGGGGCGGAAGGTCGCCGGTGCCGTGAGGGGCGGTGCGGGGAAGCGCCTGGGTGTCGCGGGAGCGGGCTGCGGCGCAGACGGGCGGGGCAGCCTCGGGGCAGGGCGGCGGGGCCGGGGAACGGGTCTCGAGCCCAGGAGAGGAGCAGCACCTACCTCCGGGGGTGGAAATGGGCCGGAATGGGCCGGAACACCGTCCCGGAAGTGAAACCCCCCGCCCCCTCCCCCGGAGCGGGCGACGTGCCGGAAGGAAATCGCTCACCCTTATACCGTCCCCCTCCCCCAACGCTTTCCGTTCGCGCCCCCTCCCCTCCCAGCGTTTCCTCCCGGGCGAGGAGGAGGGCGGATCCCAGCGTCACGTGAGCGGTCGGGTCCCCGCCCCAAATTACGATGTCGGGCGGGGCCTTGGGAGCGGGCGGGAGGTGGGGCTGGAGGAGGAGGAGGAGGCTTAGAGGGGGGAGGGGCGGAGCAGCAGCGGCGAGGGGAGGAGCGTGCGTCGTGACGTCATGAGGAAGAATGCTCTTATACTGGAGTTCGGGCGCCATATCGGTCTTTCGGTGCTTCGAGTCTGGTCGGCCGTAGGTAGGTTACTGCTTTGCGGTGGTTGGAAGCGGTCGGCTCTTGGAACCCTTAGGAGTTTGGGCCTTCCCGAACGGGTTGCTTTGCTAGGCCTAAGGCGCGCATTTGCAGGCCTCTCAAGGCGAAGAGGGAGATGGCGTGTTTGGAGCCCGCGCGACCTAGATAGCGTTGGGATTTGGGGGCTTAAACTATGAGGAAGATGCGGCTCGAGTGCCCTGCCTGTGATGAAGCCTTTGTTGGTAGGGACATCTGAAGAGTGTTGAAGAATGCCAACGGCTCTGAAGGCGGCCGGCGCCGAGTCGCCAGAGTAGGCCTTTGTTCCAGTAATGGCGCTCCCAGCCTGGAGCGGCTCGATCTGAGGGAAGGACACAAGAGCCCACGTGGTTCTTTTAGGTGGCTGGGTTCCGCAGTGCACCATTTTGGGTGCATAACAGTGTATTTCTTGCTTGCATATTCACGTGTATTCACGGTTTTATTAGTGGTTCTTTAGATGCATTGTTATTTTGCAACATGAAGTGCATCATTTACTTAAGCCTATGGTGGTAGGAGCTATCAGTCTTAGCTAATGTGGTAAAACATTAGCTTAAATGGAACGAATGAGTGGAAGGTCTAACGTATTAGAAATGGTATGGGGTAGGTATGTAATGTGGGTTATTTTGTATAGACAATAGAAATTCAACCCAGGAGCTACATCTCCAAACGTTTTTCCTTTTAGAGACACAGGGTGTCCCCTGAAACTATATCTACTTGCTTCAGCATTCTGAAGTAGCTGCAGTGTGGCTCCGGATGGCATCTTGCGTGCAGGTAAGAATGAAATATGCATAGAGATAGCTTTTATACTAAGCCTATGATGGTGTAAGAGTAGTGGACAGAAGGGATTTCTGAAAATTTTCATTCTGAGGCATTAACATTTTGAACATGTAATCTGATTTTTAATTCACCCAAGGATGTTTCTCATTGTTTGTATTATTTGTTTTCTAGTTAGATGCCAAAGGAATGAATACTAAGGTGAGATACTGAAATTTCCTCAAGGGATTTAGATTAATTGCTTAATGTGCTACAATGATGACATTTATTTGCTACTCTTGACTGCAAGAATGACGACAGACTAAACCACCATTACTTTAACTGAGGCACACAAAATAGTTATTTGGGGACTGTAGAGATTGCACCTCGGTAACATGAAATTGTTTCTTTCCAGGTAAAAAGCCTCTCCAGCAATGGACACAAGGTTAGAAACATTTATATACTCATGCATTATGTAAAATTGAAAGTAGACAAAACAATCTTATTAGCATTTCCCCCTTTGCAGATGTGATCTGCTCTAATTCCAAAATCAAACTTCTGGGGGCAGGTGGAAGAGGCAGATACTGTGATGGTTGCATAGTTCAGCAGATTTAAGTCATGAAGAAATATACTTTTCTGATGTATCTGGGATTGTTGTTCGTGGCTGTTAATTAGCATAAGCAATATGGCAATTATCAACTTTAAGATCTAAAATTTTTTTATATTTTTTTAGGCACTAGATAGAAAACCAGAAGTAGAAATGGTGAGTACAGCATTCCACTAAACATAGGTAGCTGGGCAAAAAAGATGGCGTTTTTGGATTGCATTTTTTTGTAGTAAGCACTCAAGCATAAGGGCTAAATTCATTAAATGCCGGTATCTTGCCTGTTACCGTTTCTGAGGTCAGTGTGGCCTGGATGATGATAAGAAGATAACTGATTGAACGTGAAGTTTTTAATTAGCTCTAACTGATTTCGGGCATTGTTGGTTTGGGCTGGGAGAAATTGCATATTTGGCTATTCTAAAATCACCCTTATTCTTTAGGTGGAGGATGATTTCTTTGGATCTGCTTTATTTTTCTAGTAAGTATTGGAAAGCATTACCTGAGAATGCCAATAAACTGCATGCATGCCTGTTGCGTAATAAATTTAAAAGTGAATGAAAACTTGGCATATTTGAGCATGCTCCAAATGGGGTTTTTGTAATGATGTTGTTCAAATGTCTGACCTGAAATGAGCATGTAGACAAGTTTTATGCTGAAGAACCCAAGACATACAGTTTGAAGAGAATTGATGACATTTATCATACTAACAAAGTTCTTCATACTTTCATTTATAGTTCCTGGAAACACATGTTGATCTGGATAGCATGATTGGGTAAGACCACAAAAACAATTTTTTAGTTCCTGATGTCTTAGGTTTATAATTTTGAAACATAATTCTACTAATGAATTAAGTCTAAGGATTATTTCTTATTAAACCAGTAGACCATAAATAACTTTACTGTATATAAAGTAGATTTAACAATTGAATAGGGGTTACAAGTATTTATAAATAAGGTAAATAACTATTTTCAAAGTTAGTATGAAACTGTTGGGAAGAAGTTTCTAAATCAATAACTTTACAGATTGGAGACCTGTTATTTTTTAATATTTTAAAGTTGTTGATGGACCTTTATTATGTGATGCTGAGAATCGAACACAGTGCCTCATGCATGCCAGGCAAGCGTGTAACCACTGAGTCACAACCCCAGCCCTGAGACTATTTAAAGGTATGTATCATTTATCTTACTTACTAATTGTGTAAGGTGCTGTTAATGATGATTTAAAGTTGAAACAGATGGGAATCTCTCTGAAAGAGAATGAAGATTAACTTTAAACTGAAACAGTAGTTGGAAAATATTTAGAAATATCTTTGTTAAAAAACTATTGCTAAGTTAGACTAAATTCCTGCAGGTACACAGACTCAGCTTGGGAAGCAGTGGCAAGAAGTTTTAAGCAAAGGTACATCAGTCTCAAGATTTTTACTGATGGGGTGAACTAAGGCCTTGCAATATACTAGGTAGGCACCTCAGGCCTCAAGTTGGAAATAGACTAGATGTTCTCAAAGCCGATACAATGATGATAACATAGTTCAGCAGATTTTCACTGATGAGCAATCATGTCTTTCGCTCCTATCTGATGTATCTGGCTTAACAATCCAACTCATTCTGTTAAAATGACCTTTTATTGTCCCCATATAAAATTTTTATGGACTTTGTACTATGACTGTTTATCCTGTATTTTCCTTTAATGCCAGGAGTGAAGCTGGACAAGGTGTGTCTATGATCCTCCTATCTACACTATCCTGAGGGATGACCATCTCGTGAGCCCAGGAGATAGTGGCCAGGAGAAGCAATAATGATTGGGGAGGTTAGTACCAAAACTTAGGGTAATTTTATTAACATAACTCAAAATTACTTAGCTTATCTAAAACATAATACTTTAATATTTAATTTTTTAAAAAATTACTTCACTTGCACCAAATTAGTGCTTACCTACCTATTTTTATTTTTTTTATTTTTTTATTTTTTTTTTTAGAGAGAGAGAGAGAGAGAATTATTTCAATATTTATTATTTTTTAGTTCTCGGCGGACACAACATCTTTGTTGGTATGTGGTGCTGAGGATCGAACCCGGGCCGCACGCATGCCAGGCGCGCGCGCTACCACTTGAGCCACATCCCCAGCCCCCTACCTATTTTTAAAAGATAAAAATATGCCACTAAAATGAAAGTGAGTAGGACCTTTACCATTTACTTTGGTATGCTGGGGATTGAACCCTGGGCTTTATGAAAGCTAATCTATGTGCTCCACCATAAAGTACCGATAAATTTCAAGTGTGTACTTGTTTTCTTAACAGGTGTGCTGCATCCTGAGATCTAGGTATGTCAAGATTTAGTATATATATTACATATTTTAGTATGTAACCGGTGATGTAATGATTCTGCCAAATGAATGTAATGATATCACTTTCAAAACCGTTCCATTTTTGATTCTGAGGTTACTACACCTAAAAAGCATCCTGTAACATTTTTTTGCCATGATTAATATGGACTTTTTTGTTTTAGGGCTTTTGTGGCAGCTGCAGGAATATCACTTAACTCTTAGGTAAGTATTGAAAATATCAGCACTAATTACTATTCTGAATACATGATGATCTCACCCCAACTTGAACTCTCTCACTGATCACTTGATGACAGTAAAAAGATCTGATATTCTGTATTCCCCAAGTACCATTTAAGTTGTAATCTGGAAATGTGGCTAAAAAGTGTTTTTTGTTGCAGGTAGCTGGATGGATGTTATCTCTTGGGATAGAAGATTGAATATGTCATCACATTAAGTTTCTGAAGAGAGTCTAGTTTTGGGCTGGGGTTTGAACCCATGAAGTATACTTCAAACATGGAGAAGGGAATAAAGGTGTCTAATAAAAGTCACTAAGGAAAATTTTGGTGCTTTGTCATTTTGAGTTGAAATAGAGCCTGTACAAGTCATGAAGACTATTGCTTCATTATCAGTATAGGCAATACACTGGTATTGGGTGTCTTAAAGGTTATTTTCTGCTTGAAATGCCATGTTTACTGCCAACAGATCAGCTCAGGACGAGCCATATATTTGAAGGATTCATTATGGGGCTGAAAGACTGGGTCAGTGCTTTTTACTCTAAAGTACCTGAAAGACAATAAAAATCTCAAGTCATGGAGAGAACTTGATACTAAGGGAAATATCAAATTTGCATTATCACTGCTTAGTGAAATCTCCCAAAGAAAAATGTTTTTTGAGATTTACTCAAAGTAATAGGTCAATGAAATACTTGTCAGCCAAATATTTGGACAAGAGGGGTATAAATGGTTATGTCAAAAGTGGTATACCTTATAGGATGGATAACATTAGATAAAGTTATTGGTACTTCTAAGTGGAGCATTTGCCTTAAATTTTTTTGCCTAACTGCAAATCTGGTCAATGTGTTTTGTCAGTGTGGATTGCCAGTCAACTCCTAAATTTCCTGGAGAGATCTATTAGCATTTCACAAGTTATTTTTGTCATAACGGGTGGCTATATTGACAAACTTGGTTGTGTGCTAAGCAGAATGGCCCTGTTTCTACCACATTCATCTTTGAATGTGCCCTTTACCATTATTTACAGGTTTTCAGGACACAGTTTAAATTTATCCTTGCTCCATGGTGTAACTCCTCAATACTGGGAAAAAAAAAAACCTAATGTGTGACTGCATGGAATTGCTTGGCCAGATGATAGGAATTTGCAAGGCATGTCTTGAGACTTGATCACTAGTAATAGAAATATGATATAGGATATGTATCTGCAGTTGCTCAGATGTCCCACCTAACATTTTTATAAAATACTTTGTTACAAGAAAAAGGCGAGGGAGCTGGGGCTCAGCAGTAGTGCCCTTGTCTGAGATGAGTGAGGCACTGGGTTTGCTCCTGCAGCAGTCAACTAAAAATTAAGGTCTGATATTTCCAACTCCGTCCAATTATTAATGTTGAGTAATGATCCGTTGTGTGTATGTTTCCATCTGTTGAAGGGTATCTTGGTTGCTTCCAGTTTACCTACTATGAATTGAGCTGCTATAAACATTGATGGCTGTGATACTGTAGTTTGCTGATTTAAATCTTTTGGGTATCTACCAAGGAGTAGGATAGTTGGGTCAAATGGTGGTTCCTTAGTTTCCTAAGGTATCTCGACTGCATTCCAGACTAGTTGCACCAATTTACGGTCCTACCAGCAGTGTATGAGTGTGTCTTTCCCCCACATCCTTGACAATGTTGTCTGTATTCTTAACTCACTCTGTCTTTTTTCCTTTTCACAAGTTATTTTTTTTTACTGATATTCAACAGAATTACCTGTCAAATTGTCTTAATGGTTTCTAAATAGTTATACTCAATTTCTGTTTATCACATGCACATTAACAGACTATGCTTTGAGGACAATGGGTGCAAATCATTCCCTTTCTCATTGGTTCTCCTCCCATCTCCCAGGCACAGTATGCCTGGGAGAACTTCTCATGTTTTTCTGTCCCTCTTGTTGGAGTTAATCCTACTAGACTTTCCTGCATAGTCAAGGCCATGGAAAAGTTAGTTGGGTCTTGAGAAGACCTACAGTACTATGTAAGAGTAGGTTTGGTCTTCTTGGATTCCTCTAAGTGGATCATATCTAAAATAGATGACTCTTGCTAGAATTGATGACTCGCTATCTATGATTCTGTAGGTCACTCATTTTTTGGTAGCTCTTTTGTCTCCCACATCAGCCTGTCCATGGGCAGTCAGATTAGCAGTATGTGAGATGAAGCTGCAAATACTGTTTCCTGAGTCCGGAAACTTGCCCGTCATCTATAGTGCTATCTTATAAGCATATGTAGCATTTTGTTCCTAGTGAACTCAGCTTTGTGAGGTAAGATCCATTGTGGATTCTTTACAAAGTGTCTAAGATGTTACCATGCTGCCATGATGTTTCCTGTGCCATGTTTCTTGCAAAACATGACATCTAGCCAGAGCACCTAGTTTCTAGAAGAGGTGAGTGCATCTGTCACTCCTGTTCTCTTGGATGACAAACAAGGTCAATGTTAAGAGTATCTCTTGATTTGCATTTCTCCAATTTCTAGAGATGAACATTTTTTCATATATTTGTTGATCAAATGTGCACCTTCTGAGAAGTATATTCAGCTCCCTAGTCCATTTAAATTGGAGAATATCATGCTAAGCAAAGTAAGCCAGTCCCAAAAAAACAAAAGAAAAATTCTCTTGGAGGCTGAGGAGACTGAATTTGAAATACTCTTGGTATTATGCATTTATTGTTTAATGTTTAATTTCAAGTATCACCTTACCACAATGATGTCTTAAATAGTAACATATCCTTAGATTTCAGTAGTGGTTCCCCGGCCCCAAATGGTCTGAAGTTGAGTAATGCCCAAAGTGATTATTTCTGGTATGTCAGGGCAGGATCCCAGAGACCTAGGGCCTTTGGTATTTGTATTCCAGAAAAGATCTGGATTGTGGGTCTCTTCTGTATACAGCTTGCTTCCAGGACAGTTTGGTGAGAATTAGGCATTGAACAGTAAATATATATGTAGTTAGAAATTAGCCAACAACCTTAGATGATATTGATGGATGTAAAATTTTATTTTCTTATCCAATAAAGGGCATCTCTAGAAATTCTACTGACAAAGGGCAGGCAGAATTGGATACCTCACTAAGGGAACCTTGCCAGCAAGAACCAGCAAATGAGTGAGACACAAGCAAGGTAAAAAAAAAAAAAGTTTAGGGAAAAGCTCTAATAGTGAACCAATTTGCTGTTGTAGGGAAAAACATTCATAGCTTTTTTTTTTTTTTTAGCAAGGGAAGCTGTACTGGGAATTGAACCCAGTAGTACCACTTTACCAGTGAGCCACATCTCCAGCCATTTTTATTCATTTAAAATAAGGTTTATTTAAAATAAAGAGGTTCTTTGTTTAATTGCTGAAGCTAGCATGGAATTTGTGATCCTTCCTTGGCCTCCCAAGTCACTGGCATTATAGGTGTGTGTGTGCCATTGTGCCTAGCACTCCATAGCTTTCTAGGTGTCACAAGTTAACTGGGGTGGAGTCTTATTTTCTTATAGTGTTATATTGCTTAGAGTGTTGAGAAAATAAGGACATAAAACTGATAATGTTTACAAATTATAAATCAAAGGAATTTTATCAAGGCAGAAGATCAAGTAGAATTTCAGTATTGAGATTAATCTCATTTTATAATTATTAAATTTTTAATTATCAAAACAAAATCACATTTTTTATATTTGAAGTTGGTCTAAGGTCAGTATTTATAATTGAGGGAAAATATTCAAGGACTAATGATTATCCCTAAAAATTGAAAACAAAGAATACCGATTTATAAATCCTTTTTTCTTTCTGCAAGAGCCCTACTAAGTAATCAGGGCAAGTATTGTTTGCATTTTACATAAATAGGGAGGCTATAAAATTTGCTTAACGTGAAACAGACTTCATGACTGATTTTGTGTGTGTGTACACGCATTATATTATGCTACTTATTTAATATATTGATGGTTGAAATGTCATCAGGGCTGGATGAACTGAAACCCTCCATCAAGTGGCAGTCTAGAGAGAGAAGCATTTTTCTATATAATTTGATTTCCTGTTCTGAGTAAATCTACCATCTGAACATGAAAAACATGATTAGAAAACACTAAGCCACTATATTACTCCAATAAAGAGCCTTTTTGGGGGATGCGGTAGTAGGGCAACAGATATTAAACCCAGGGGCACTCAATCACTGACCCACTCCCCAGCCCTATTTTGTATTTTATTTACAGACAGGGTCTCACTGAGTTGCTTAGCATCTTGCTTTTGCTGAGGCTGGCTTGGAACTCATGATCCTCCTGCCTCATCTCCTGAACTGCTGGGATTACAAGTGTAAGCCACAATACCCGGCGAAAGAGCTATATATATATATATATATATATATATATTTTTAACCCCAAGTAAAAAGGAACTTACAAAAAAGTCCCAACCAAAAAAGAAAAAAAAAAAGCATATTGTGAAATTTTGATACATTATTGTGAAGAATCCTTCCTGGGTTATATTCGCCTACAGACTTGTCAGATGAGTGACACATCCAGATTTGATTTTAGCCTTGGTGAAGCAAAGAGGACAAAACTCAAGTTCAACTTTCTGGATGGTGTGAATGATTCAATGAGCTCCTTTCTGCTTCTGAGTCTGCTGGCCAGGAGACCTGGATGTGATAGGGCTTCAGTTCCTGAGGAGAAACAGAATCTGGGGCGTTGCTCATGAGGTCATGTCCCCGGAAGGATTTTGGGAAGGCTATGACATCTCTGATGCTTGCAGCTCCAGTGATAAGGCACATCAGTCTGTCTAGCCCTGTGAGTAGAATACAGTTAGCCAATGAGAAATACATAGTAATCAAATGTTGGGAATGTCTTAAGTTTTTCTATAAAATTTATAGAGAACTTTATTTTTGGTGATACTGGAAACCAAACCCAGGGCATCACATATGCTAGGCAAGCACTCTTAACACTGAACTACAATTCTATATATAACTTCTAAATAAAATCTAGGCTGCACCAACCATAGTATTCTGCTTTTACAGAACTGAACTGGACATGGTAGTGGTGTATGCCTGTAATCCCAGTGGCTTTGGAGGCTGAGGAAGGAGGATTCCAAGTTTGAGGCCAGCCTGAGCAATTTAGCAAGATTATGCCTCAAGGAAAGGAGGGAAAAAAAAGCTCGAGGTGTAGCTCTGTGGTAGAGTCTCCCTGGGTTCAATCCCCAGTACCATAAAAACCTTTCAAATGCAAAATTATGTCAAGTTTTAACTAGTAAAATACACTTTTAGGGCATGTGCTTTTAGCATGTGTGAAGTTCTGGTTTCAATCTCAAGTACCAAAAAAAAAAAATACATAAAAATATATTACTGAAATTAAAACAAACTTACATTCTCATAGAACGCTTGACCTCAACTCCACCCGCCACTTATCATAGGCTAAAAACCCCAACTTGAGACAGTGCTATGGAATGAAATGTAGTTTATAAATAATGTACAAGTTATTTACCTAAGGCAATTCCTCCATGAGGGGGTGCCCCATAATCTAAAGCCTGGAGCAGATGGGACAGTAATTTCACATCTTCCTGAAATTCAAAAGATATTCCATTAAATATAAACACCGAAGGTCCACTAAGTACTGCGTTCAAGGCTTAGGTGCTAATGGGAAATAAAGTTGAGTTAACCTTAATGTGACTTAACTAAATTATCATGAAAATTCATTAGCAGAATTAAAACAAAAAAAAAACTTTAAAGAGGTTTACAGTTTAGCAAGGGAACAAGACAAATCACAGACAACATGTAGAAAAGTGCCTGGTGCCTAGTAACTGCCACCATTACTGTTCTGCTAATCGGAACAGAATAAGACGGACCAAGGTAGGCTCAAAAGGGCAAGATGAGTAGCAGGCTGTGCTGTCACAGGGACCAAGAGAAAAGCATAAGTATCAAATGCAGCTGGGAGGCAGGAGAGGCTGAAGGCCAAGCACTGGAATAATTCTCCAGCCAGACTCTAGAGTAGGATCTAGTGAAGAACTTCAAACAAATGAGTACCAATCATTTTATTTATGTGGAGCCCAAGCATCAGGGATTTTTTTTTTTTTAAACTGGAAAGATGATTCAATTTTCTTTTTCTTTCAGTCCTAGGGATTGAACCCAGGTTCTTGCACATACCAGGTAAGCACTCTACCACTGAACCACACCCCCAGCCTTTAAAACAAGGTCTCACTAAATTGGCCTAGAACTTGTGATCCTCCTGCCTCAGCCTCCCAAGGAGCAGGGATCATAGGCATGTGCCACCATGTCCAGCCAGATGATTCTGTTCTAATGGGCAGTAGGAAAGGGCTAAGAACCACCAGAGGCAAAGAAGTGTATTCTTACTCTTCTGAAAAGCTTGACAATGAAAGGAATGAAAAAGGTAGGCTGGAAACAGGTCTGGGAGCTTCAGGCAGAAATGGGCACAGGTTTCACAATGCCCCTAAAATCAAAGAGCACCTGATGTTTTGAGTTTTCCAAATGGGCTCTCACATCCTACTTCATACCTGTTAGTCCCACAAAATTAGTTTTTAGGACCAGATTGATGGATGGTTTCCTTCATGAAACTTATCCTATCCTAGAAAATCACTGAATTTTTAAATTCTCAACCTTTATTTTTCAATTTTTAAAATTCTGACCAAATCCCACTCTCTATATCACTAAAATATACCCCTACCTTTCATACAGTTCAAATATATCTATTAAAAGGCATAAAATCTCTTTATACTTTTCTCTCAACATTTTCAGTTACTGGAAATAACTTTTTTGGAGGGGGGATGGTAATGGGGATTTAACTCAGGTGCCTCACCTCTGAGCTATATCCCTAGCCCATTTTTAAAAATTATTTTAGTTGTAGATGCATACAATACCTTTATTTTATATATTTATTTTTTTAAGTGGTGCTGAGGATCAAACCCAGTGCCTCACATGTGCTAGGCAAGTGCTCTACCACTGAGCTATACTCCCAGGCCCCCAGCTCATTTAAAAAATTTTTATTTTTAGACAGGGTCTTGCTAAATTGCGGAGGCTGGCCTTGAATTTGTGATCTACCTGCCTCAGCCTCCAGTCACTGGAATTAAAGACATGCACCACTGTGCCTGGCTTGGAAATGACTTTCGAGTAGTGTGCCTCTTTTTCATCTCTGAAATTTCAAAGAATAAAGGTATCTATCTCATGAGATTACTATGAGGATTAAATGTATCAATGCATAGAAAGTATATAAACAGTTACTGGCATATAATAAGCACTAATGTTATCCTTATTTCACTTACATTTTTAAGTCCTACACTAAAGGTAGAGAGAAAAGCTGAAACTATTTGTATCTAGCAAATAATCATGACGGATGTTTAACAAAACCAAGGGAAAAACAGTGAGGCCAGGTTAGATGGTATGTTACCTTCAGTAGTGTCCCCAGGATGTAATGCTGTAGCTCTGCATCGTGAATTCGGATGGAACCTCCTCCAATCTCACTGCCATTTAAAACCAAGTCATAGTGTTGGCTGCGAACCTAGATTCACAGAGCCTTTATATTAGGGAAACTTCTAGCTTTCTGTTCTACAGATTAAAGATGCTGTAGCTACTTAGACAATGTATTAAACCACTGGCTCAATTTCTCCTGGGACTTCCAGAACTGGTCCTAGCTATCTTTAGACTATGAACTTTGAAGTACTTTGTCTTTTATTTACATATGTCCTTTTTATTTGGAAATACAGATATAGTACCTTTTCAGGTTCAGTGTACAGGAGGTGAATGTCACCAGGGTGGGGAGCAGTGAATGGGTGGTGGGCTGACTCCAGCTCCATGGGATTTTCCTCCTTGGGAAGAAAGAGTGGGAAATCCACCACCCAAAGGAAGGAGAACAGGGCTGGGTCACGGAGCACCATACCATTCATTTCCAAAATGTCGGCACATGCCAGACGTAACTTTCCCAACAGAGAGCACTGCAAACAAAAGATACATTGAGTTAGCTTCTTAACAATAAGCAGCATATGCCACCACCTGGGTTCTGAAGCACTATTCTCTAGGAAAAGAGCAGCCAACTAGAAAATGAGTTGTTCTTTCTTAGGAGACAGAGACCTGAAGATGACTAGCAGTCTTAGCTAACTGGGTCGTGAGCACCTAGTAATCCAGTGATTAAGAACACAGGCAGCAGAGCTTCAAAGACTTGGTTTGGAGCCTCAGTGTGGCTATTTAGGAACTCTTTTGTGCCCTTATCCACAGTAAAGGGGATGAATATATTTAATCCAAGATACTATTGTGATTTTATTAATTTATTCATGTAGTTGTAGATGGACAGAATACCTTTATTTTATTTTTATGTGGTGCTGAGGCTTAAACCCAGTATCTCATGCATGCTCGGCAAGCACTCTGCCACTGAGCTACAGCCCCAGCCCCTTATTTATTTTTGATATGGGATCTCACTATGTAGTCCAGGCTGGCTTTGAACTCCTGGGCTCAAAGGATCTTCCTGCCTCGGCCTCCCAAGTGGGTGGGATTAAAGGCAGCTGGGATTATAGGCATGTAATCCACCATGCCCAGCAAGTTTCCTTATTTTAAAAATAACAATATCTGTACTTCTCTCATGGGTTGGCATGGACATTAAATGAATCAATATATACACAGTATTTAGATCAGTGGTAAACAGGAGGTACTTAATAAATGCTAACTATGGTGTGCAGAGTTTCCCTGAGAAGGCAGTTTATCAGAAAAGTGTCACATGCCTGGAGATGCCTAGAATGCCACTTTTTTCTTTTTTAATACTTTTTTAGTTTTGATGGACCTTTTTAAAAAAATCTTTCTTTTTAAAATTTATTTATATGTGGTGCTAAGAATTGAACCCAGTGCCTCACACATGCCAGGCAAGTGCTCTACCACTGAGCTGCAAACCCAGCCCCTAGGAGGCCACTTTGAGATCCATTCTATTCCCACAGAACACCTTCATTCTGACATTTTTCAGAAAGTTAATGTTACTTCCCACAGTCTTGTGTCTTTCTTTCAAGAAAGGTCCAGCAGGAATTGTAGTCTACCTTCCTTAGAAAGAAACAGCAGAATGTTTGGTTCACACCAAATTAATTTGCAGCATAATGTTATATTATATAAAATTGCAATGTATTTTTTAAGAAATTCATTAATAGTAAAATTTGTATTTAAATGGATTTCTTCACTCTGCTATTGCAGAAGGGAAAGATAATGAATTATATTGAGCTTTGAAGCTGAAAACAAATCTTTCCTTTGAAAGAAATAGTAAGGGAAAATATAAATTACAGTGAAAAAAATTGAATTTATGTTTAACATTTACAATATATTTTCTTTCTTTCTTTCTTTTTTTTTAATATTTATTTTTTAGTTCTCGGCGGACACAACATGTTTGTTTGTATGTGGTGCTGAGGATCGAACCCGGGCTGCACGCATGCCAGGCGAGCGCGCTACCACTTGAGCCACATCCCCAGCCTACAATATATTTTCAATATTCATGTTTGATTTTTTAAAATATATTTTTAGTTGTTGATGGACCTTTATTTTATTCATTTATTTATATGTGGTGCTGAGAATTGAACCCAGTGCCTCACACATGCTAGGCAAGCACTTTACCACTGAGCCACAACCCCAACCCCTCGTTTGATTTTTATACTACGCTTTTGCCTATCTTTCAAGGATTCTTAAAGGTAAATTCAGCCTCCCACATATCCCCTGAAGAAAGGTGATTTACACAATGCATGGTAGCACTCACCACCTACAACTACTGCTCTTGAGAAAAAAGGGTCCTGCCTTGACTAAGCGGGTCCAGGAGTGTCTTTCAGCCTGCAGCCCTCCAGCAGTCTGAGCCGTCCTGCCACACTCTTGGTAATGAACTATGTACAAAAGTCAGCAACTACCAAATTTCCTTCATCTGCAAACCTTAAAAATGAAAAGTGTTTCATGGTTATATAAGTAAAACTACTGACCCTCTACTCAGGCAGATTTCCTAATCTGAGTCAGATCTAATTTGTGTGATGATGCCAATGGAGTCTGACAGCTGATGAAAAGACTCCAGTGTTCACATAGTGCATTAAGAAGTACTGAAAGACACATAACAGTGGATGCAGCTCCATCTCTGAAATTAACAAGTCATTTTAAATGTGCACATCCACAGGAGAAGAGAGGCAACATTTAGCATCCATTGCACAGATGCCTGCAGGTGACTTCTTACTGCTTTCTTGTGCTCTCCGGCAGTCAGGAGGACTACATCATCTTCTTGAATCTCCATTAGTCTAATTAATTCCAACCTTTGTTTCTCCAGTATGAATTTAGCAACGGGTGAATTCCAGTTTTCCTTGTTTTTTAGGAATACAGGTAAGACCTCCTGTGATAAAGAAAAAGAATCACTTACTTTGTGTGTGTGCATCTGTGGTACTGGGGACTGAACCCAGGCCCTTATGCATACTAGGCAAACCTCTACCACTGAACTACATCCATAATCCTTACTCATATTTTTTAAAAAGTGAGATTGATTCATTTTCTCATGGTACAAAGATTTCTTGGTCCCAGTGGAATTTATATGAGATTATCACTATTCTCTTCCCTGAATCCCTTCAAAATGATAAAAAGGAATTTTATTTTTTGTGGTTTTGGGGACTAAACATAGGGGGCATGCTACCACAAGCTATATCTTTGAACTGTTTCATTTGAGAATGTCTTGCTAAATTGCTGAGGCTAGCCTCCAACTTGTGATCTTGCCTCAGCCTTCTGAGTAGCTGGGACTATAGGCGTGCATCACTGAGCATTGCATAAAAGGAATTTTAAAAAAGTAATCTCACCACAATGAAAAAAAAATGGGAATGAAGCATAGGGAGTAATATTAGTAGATTTCTGGTAGATTCCAAGCAAATGATATAGGGATGGTTAAGGAAGCGGGATGAAGATGGCTCTGGCCTAGGAAAGAATGGAGGCAGCTTCAGCATAGGAAGGAACTGTTTTACCCAGCAGAATCCTGGAGAGGCTTAGGACTCATACACCTTGAGTCCCCAGGGTAACAGCCAAGTAACCTTGTTGCTCACCCTAAACCTATCCATTCACAAAGCCTTACCCAGGACCTTGTATTTCCAACCAGCTTTTAGAAGGCCTTATACTTAAACATGCCCAATCACCACACATTGAAGAAATTCTTCAGCATTTAAAAAAAAAATCATTAAAATCGGAATAAAATAGAAGGAAGAGAGCTACTGGAAATACAAACATGAAAAAAAAGTTCAACAGAAGACTTGAGGAAATCTAGAAAACAGAATAAAAGGATAGAGAAAATGATAGGAAAGGACTTGGGGGGCAAAAAGCAATATAAGCTATGTGAAAGGGTTCAACATACAACTCGGAGTCCCCAGCCCTAGAAACAAAATCCAACAAAATAATTAAATAGTAAAAGAAATTTCCCCAGATGAAGACATGAGCTTTCATACTGAAAGGGCCCTTCAAGTGTGCAATACTTGAATAAAAAAATGATCCAGGCTAGGTGCGGTGGCACATACCTATAACCTGGCAGCTTGGGAGGCTGAGGCAGGAGGATCACAAATTCAAAGCCAGACTCAGCAATTCAGCAAGACTGTGTCTCAAAATAAAAAATAAAAAGGCCTGGGGATTTGGCGTAGTAGTTAAGTGTTCCTGGGTTTAATCCCTGGTATCAAAAAAAGTGATCCAAACTTGAAATTTTAGAGCATCAAGATTTGGGAGGGGCTGGTGTTGCTCAGCATTAGGGTACTTGCCTCACATGCATGATTCTCTGGGTTCAGTCCCCAACACTGACCCCCATCCCCAGAAAAAAAGTTTTCAGGAGGCTGAAAACTTCCAAAGAGAAAAATAATCAAATAATCATGTCTGCTGTAAAGGAAAAAATCCATACAAACATTATACTTCTCATTAGTAACAGCAGATGGGAGAAGTAATAACCATGGCTATGTGGTATGGCTATTTAAATTTAATTAAAATAACAGTAGCACATGCCTGTAGTCCATTATTTGGGAGCTTACCCAAGAGGATCACTTGAGTCCATGAGTTTGAGACCATATGAACAGCCTAGGCACCATATTGAGATCCTGTTTTAAAGCAATCCTCCTCAAAAAAGAATTGGAGGGGCTGCGGCTGGGGCTCAGTGATAGAGCACTTGCCTGGCACACGTGAAGCACTGGGTTCGAACCTCAGGACCACATAAAAATAAAGGGAGCTGGGGTTGTGGCTCAGCAGTAGAGCACTCACCTAGCACATGCGAGGCCTTTGGTTTGATCCATAGCACGACATAAGAATAATTATTGCATCCAACTACAGCTAAGAAATAAATATTAAAAACAGGGCTGGGGTTGTGGCTCAGTGGTGGAGTGCTTGCCTAGCACGTGTGAGGCCCTGAGTTCGATCCTCAGCACCACATACAAGTAAATAAAATAAATATTTAAAAAAAAAAATTGAGTGCTCTACCACTAAGAAAGATCCCCAATGCTTTTATTTTAAGATAGTGTCTTGCTAAGTCATCCAAGCTGGCCTCAAACTTGCCAATCCTCCTGCCTCAGTCTCATGAGTAGCTGGGATAACAGGCTGTACTACCATCCCAGGCTTGCAAGAATGTTGATCTGGCTGAAGCAAAGGTATAGAATATAAAGAAACAGGAAATTAATGAGATTGTCTAAAAGTGAAGTCTCATTTGACTGTTGTCAGGCTGGTCTCAAACATAAAATGTGTCTGTCGAAGTTGGATATAGAGTTTTAAAATAGGTATAGGAATAACCCTGAATACTGGAAGTCATTCATGCTTGTAATGCTTTTTGTTAAACCTTGAGCATGTAGGGCTCTATTTATTTTCCAATTAAATTGAGTTATACCCAGGGGTAACATTAACTTTAAAAATAAATAGAAGCGTGATCTGAAATAACAAAACCCTCAAAATTAATGATATCTCAAAAGCTCAAGCAATCAGTTAAAAATACTGAATTCCCAAAAGGAAGAAAACTGCTTTAATTAATTCCTTACCTCATTAAAATGGTCAGCTGCAAATTTTCTAATGGACTCAATGTCTTTCTTTTTTAAGTAATTCTGATGAAAAATAAAGAAAACTCATTAATATGACACTCAGCTTCATAAACGTGTTTATAACATCAATGGAACACAAATATATGTTTTTTTCATCACAATAGTGAGATTTAATACAAATTTAATTTCTGCTACTAAATTACAAATTTTCCTGCCATCCTTTGGGATGATCCTGTTCTCTAGGAAGACACAAACCAGAGCAGGAAGCGGTGAGGAAAACCAGGCCCCAGCTGCCTCACCTCCTTACCTACCTTAACCTCACCCAACCCCATCAAAGCCACTAGAACTCTAAATGACCAAAAATAATTTTTTTTTTTCTGTATGAGGAATTGAACTCAGGAGTGTTCTACGTCTGAACTACAGCCCCAGTGTTTTTTTAAAAACATTACTTTTTGATTGGGGCCTCACTAAGTTGCTGAGGCTGGCCTCAAACTTGTAATTCTCTTGCCTCGCTCTCTTGAGTAGCTGGGCTTACAGGTGTGTGCCACATAAACAGGCTTCTAAATAATACTTTTTTTTTTTTTTTAAGAATTTAACTCTTATTTATTTATTGATTGATTTTTCAATACTGTGTTGAGGATTGAACCCAGTGCCTCACAGGTGCTAGGTAAGTGCTCTACCACTGAGCTACAACTCCAGCCCTAAATAACACACTTTTAAAACTTATTATAGGTCTTATTTTTCCCAATTATGCAGGTCTCATTGGAAAGAGCTGTCTTTCCCCAGAAGTCTTTAGATGTGGAATACAAAGGATAAATAAAATATAACTGAACTGTGAAAGAAAAAAATTTCAGATCCACAAAAGAATTCAGAATTTATTGAAGATTTCTTAAAAATTCTTTATATCTTGCTTTTGATAAACTGAATTAAGTTTTTTTTAATGTTTTCTTCTTTTTTAAAAAAATATCTTTTAGTTGTTGATGGACCTTTATTTATTTGTATGTGGTGCTGAGAATTGAACCCTGTGCCTCACGCAATGCTAGGCAAGTGCAGCGCGCTACCACTGAGCTACAATCCCAGCCCCTGGATTAAGTTTCTTAAAATTCTTTGCATCTTATTTCAAATTATCTTAATGTCTAAGTGAGACATTGGTTATCCTCAGCTATTCTCAGGGGGCATTTCATTAGGAACAGGAGATACAAAGAGGTGAAAAATAATATATATTCCTGTAGTCTACTTAGAGAAGAAAAGACACACTTGAGGCAAGCACTGTACCAACTGAGCTATATCCCCTGCCGAAAAGATACACTTGAAACAGGGTAAATAATATCAACAGGCAATAAGTTATCCTGGCATACCTGAACACACTTTTTATCTGGACTAGAGAGAGTATGGATACCAAATTACTTTCCACTGAACATATGAAGTGAATATAGAGTAATAAGACAAGAGTTCTTTCCCCCATTCTAAATATACTATGTATCCAAACGAGCATAATCTTTCAAAATAGTAATCTGATTGAAGAAACTTCTGGAATGACTCATTATTTTTAAAGCAAGTATACTTATTACAGTACTAAATGTGTCCCATCACTTTACAGTTAGTGCTTGCTCAGCCCAACCACTCTCCTTTCTCCTCTTACCTCCCTTTCCTTTTGCTTTTTTAGTGCCACCTCCTTTGCTTCCCCTACTGAGGCCAGAATCTTCAGAACACCAAAAATCAACAGGCCAGGACTATGCTAGGTGTTAAGAGCCTTTGGATAAACCAACACTATGACGAAATGCTAAATCCTATCCAGCATTTATGCTTACAAAGTATTGCCAATGAAATTATCCCAAATGAAGTACAATATCAGTGTATAGCAGTGTTTAAAAGAAAGGAAAAAAAGAGGGTGGCCAAGATCTTGAATATAAACTCACATTCTTAAGGTTTATTGTTCTCTTCTTAGAGTTTTAGGGACACTGCTAGATTTTGAAAAGTACATATTTTTATTTAAAGAGAATACTTCTTCCTCAAGTTTAAATGTACCAGTGTTAAACATATTTACTTCCAAAACATACACTATAGAAAAAACAGAACTATGCTTCACTTACTGCTCCTTCACGGACACACATGGCTTTGACAGCTCCTTGGGGCTTACTAAGTGCATCTTGAAGAAATCTGACCTCTGTGTGTCTGAACACATTACTGATATCGACAATCTGGTGAAAGGGCAACAAAGAGAGATAATTAAACATGAACTCATTTTTATCTCAAAAAATATTTTACAAATAAGATTTCAAAGAAGGGAATAGATCTTGATAAGTTAATATTTACATTCAAAGAGGGCTAAGCACTATGCTCATGGATTGAGCATCATAACTTGTATTTTACAAATATTTATTTCATCCATACAAGAGTACTAGGCTGACAGTCTATCCCCATTTCATAAATGAGTAAACTGGGACACAGAAAAGAAAGTAAGTTGTCTAAGATGACAAAGCTAGTAAATGGCCAGGATGTAACCCAAGCAGTTGGACTTAAGACCCATTATTCCATATCACAAATGAAGATATGAGTATTTAAGTTGGTAGCTATATGTACAGTTATAACTTTGTATGCATCCTATTTTTAAAAAATATTTCTTAAGATGGACACAATATATTTGCTTTATTTTATTTATTTTTATGTGGTGTTGAGGATCAAACCCAGTGGCTCACATGTACGAGGCAAGTACTCTACCACTGAGCTATAACCCCATCATTATATTTTTTTCATTCTAAAAACTGAGCACAGATTTTATTGACTAGGCAGAATTCAATTTCTAAGAAATTTTTGTGAGAGCTGAGGTTCAGAAATATCAGCAGCATTACAAAGTTCAAGGGCTACTTGCTTTCTCAGAGCAAATAATGGAAAGCCTGGTAATGAAACTGCTCTATATAAATTCTACTCTTGTCCTTTCATACACATAGATATTAATAATCTGAATAAATGTCTTCAAGTGTTTGAGTTTTTTATTGACCAAGGAAAATGAAGAACTCTGGATCATTTGCCTTCCAAGTACCATGATGGCTTGAAATAGAAAGCATACTTTTTTTTCTTTCAAGTTACTATTCATGTCCCTATAATCAATAACTGGTAAGTACTGTAATAAAGACTTTATAGCAAGTATCTTGCTCTTGGAAATGGATCTTGGAACACATTAGATAGAAAAAAAGCAATTTAATGCTAACATGTTATTCTTTTTTGCTGTAGTTCTGTAACAAGGTAACAAAAATATATCTAACAGTGTATAACACAAGTTTCATTAAAATGGTTTAAGAGACTGTGGAACTATTTGAGAGCAGGATTCTGGAAAAGTGTGGAGAAATACCTTCATGCCAAAGCGAGTGTCAGGTTTATCAGTTCCGTAGGTGGCCAATGCCTCAGCAAAGGTCATGGAAGGAAAAGGAACTACCAAAGGGTCTTTGTCACTGGGCCAGGAATACTGGAGCAGACCCTCAATTAAACTCTGGATCCCAGTCTGGTCTACAAAAGACATTTCTATGTCAATCTGAAACCAAAATAACACAAGGACACTAACTTGGAATAGTCACACACACACTATATGTATATATACATTTCTCTGCTTTCAGTTTACCACAGGATTCTATACCAAAAACACTTACAATATATAGAGAGTGTAAATATTATTACATATCTTCTTTAGGTCAGGCACTATGCTATTGCCTTGTATTAACTTGCTTAGTTCCCACAACCATCTCATGGCTTAAGGCTCAGAAAAGCTGGGTAATTTGCCTGTGTACCACCATGAAGAAGTTATGAAACTACATGTGATCCCAGGTTTGTCCAACTCCATAGCGTATGATTTTTTTTACACTTAATCATACTTATTAATATGCTATCATACAGAAATAAAATCATAATGGCTTTGATAAGTCCACAGATAAACAAATTAAATATCAATATACAGAATTACAAATTTTTTTAAAAAATTTATTTTTTAGTTGTAGTTGAACAAAATACCTTTATTTTATTTATTTATTTTTATGTGGTGCTGAGGATCAAACCCAGGGCCTCACAGGTGCTAGGTGAGAGCTCTACTCCTGAGCTACATCCCCAGCCCTAGAATTATAAGATTTTATTATACAAGAAATTTGCTTTAAGGACTTTCAAGTCAGGAACAATCAAACATTGATGACAACTCTGGCATTCCTCAGCTGATGACCATGCTCCTCATGAAAAGGACACATGAAATAGACCAAAAATTGGATAATGAGAGCCTCAACTGTAGGTGAATTTAACTACATATGTGCAGGGTAATACTTAATGAGAAGTTAGGTATATAAAGTTACTTCCCTGGTGTTCATGTAACTTTGTACCTGAGTAAACTCGGGCTGCCTGTCTGGTCTTGAACCTTCATCTCGATAACATCGGGCAACCTGAAAGTATCTACAAGTGAAACAAAGCACTAACTGAGTCATGGGTTTAAGAACACACAAACTTATCAGGAGGCAGATTGTGAAATAATAATGAATACCTCAAAGACATAAGAAACTTTTTTAAAAAAATGATACTTTTATTGGATACACAGCTGACCCAAGAGAAGTTACTACTCTATATTTTGTTTCTAAAATATTCTCTGGCCCCTTAGGACAGTGGTAATTAGAGTGTCATGTAAACCATTGGATGCTTTTTTTCCTAGTCAGTGCTTCTCAGCATTTTACTTTTTTGCTCTAGCCAGACTGAGGTACTTCTGCTGTAGGAACACACTGTAGTTTCCTGTTCTATGCCATTGCATGTTCATCCCCACCCCTGCTGAAATGCAGCTCTCTGAGGGTGTGACTCAGGATGCTTTCAATGTAATTTCAAACCTCTTCATACTTAGTTTGTAAAGTTCTTTTTTATGCTTTGTGACAGGGCCTCACTGTTGCTCAGGCTGGTCTCAAGCTCATGGGCTCAAGTCATCTTCTGTCTCCCAAGTAGCTGTGACTACAGACTCACTCCACTGGACCTGGGTCACAGTTTTCAAATTTTCATGCATTTATATTTTGGTTTATTTTACAGTTGGTTTTATTCATTGTTCTATTCTGCTTTGCTCATCTTATTAACTCATGACAACAAAACCTTCTTTTTAACCTCGTCACATCTATCAGCATAGACCTTTGTACGTGGTAGATACCAAATAAACTTTTTTTCCCTTCAGTACTGGGGATTGAACCTAGGGGTGCTCTACCATTGAGCTACATCCCCAGTCCTTTTTATTTCTTATTTTGAAATAGGATCTTGCTAAGTCGCTGAGGCTGGCCTGGAACTTGTGATTCTCCTGCCTTAGCTTTCATCACTGGGCCTAGCAATAAATTTTTACTAAATGAGGACTACTATGAAGTTTTCAGGGTATTTTATTAAGTATTCTTTGAATTCCTATAAATTTTATAACCTTAAGAGGCCAGGCAATTTTTTTTTAAATTTTTTCCCTTTCTTTCATTTCTCCCTTTTCATTTTTTTGACAACTTTTATAGCATAAAAAACTCACCTGTCTAAACCACCAACCATCAGAAGCTGCTTAAACTGTTGAGGACTCTGAGGGAGAGAATAAAACTTTCCAGGTTCCCGGGATGGTACTAGAAACTCTTTGGCACCCTTTTAAAGACAGATAGGGAAAGGAGAGACATTATTAAAAAAAATAAACCCAAGGTATAACTAACTGATGGAAGTGTATACTTCAGCTCATCAATGAAATTAACTAAAGAGCAATGTTCCCCAGTGAACTTAGGTGCTGTGTCAAGGTCCTTTGAAACGATGCTGATTTGGACACTGTGGCTAGAGACAAATGAGGTCAGGGGATGTGGGACCAGCAAGCTTCTGAGGATCTCATCTGTGTGTCTGCTGTCTCAGCACCAATGCAGACAGTGGGTGCTGAGCAACAGAGAAGTGCTTCTGACTAAGATGGGGGTGGAGAGGAGCTTGGAATATGATATACATTTCAGGAGAGTTGCTCCCAGCACAGAGAAGAGATGGTAAAGGGGGCGGTTAAACACACACACACACATACACACACACACTCTTACACACTTAGAAATGCACGCTTAGAAATGTCTGTTTGGTTTAAAAAAAAATTTTTTTTTTTTTTTGTACTGGGGATTGAACCCTGGGACAGTCTACCACTGAGCTACATCCCAGCCCTTTATTTTATTTCATTTTGAGACTATATCTTGCTAAGTGGCTGAGGCTGACCTTAAACTTGTGATCTTCCTGCTTCAGCCTTCCAAGTCACTGGGATTATAGGCATGTGCCACCATGACTGGCTGAAATGTCAGTACTTTTTTTTTTTTGTAGTTGTAGATGGACAGAATACCTTTATTTTATTTGTTCATTTTTATGTAGTGCTAAGGATTGAACCCAGTGCCTCACATGTGCTAGGCAAGCACTATGCCACTGAGCTACACCCCCAATCCCAGCCTCAAAATGTCAGTTCTTAATAAACAAGAGTTTTGTTTTTAAGGAACCAATTCATTAATGATTTACATCTATGAATTGCAAGGAAAAGAAATCTCCATGAAATAAAAGGTTCTGACTCAAATTACTGACTCAATTTTCTCAATTCTTAAGACAGTCTAGTTAAGTGACCATCCTGTGGTAGTGAGTAAAATGAAATAAAAATAAAAGTGGACCAAGTAAATACAAAAGCAAAGTGGTCCAGTTTTACAACTAATAAGACATTATTAAGAGAATGATTTCAGGAATATACATACCCCTGGGGTTCTCTTAAACAGTGTTGGGGTTTCTATATCCACAAACCCTAAAAAGAAAGAAATATCAGAATTTAGTAGATAGGAATTTGTCAAATATGATGTCTATACTACAGTCCAACAAATGAAAGGCTCTCCTTTAATTAAGAACTTGGGCTGAAGTAAGCTGCCAACCCTAGTTTTATTTTTTATAAGTCCAAGAAGTAATCTGAAGCTTTTCAAAAGATTCTGTTCTTTTATAAAGCTGATACTTTTGATATAAAATAATCCTAAATACTTGATGGATTCTTATTTACTAAATTATTCTGGTATTCAAAACGTTCTAAGCATAGGGACAATAACACAAATAGTGCAGTTTTTCCCCAGAACTAATCAAGGTATCTAGTTAAATTCACAAGCCATTTCCAAATTTCCAGCAAATGATGAATAAGTAAACAATATATAAACAAAACGTTAAGAAAACTTCTGCTGTAGAAACAACCAAAGGGCTGTCCTGCCTTCAATAACAATGGGAAATGCTAGGTTAAACAATGTAACAGGTATTACTACCTTCAAAAGGAAGTATATGTGACCCAGTGAGCACCTAGTGACTAAACTATGCTCTAGGACAAACACCTGTAAAATAAATTTTCTTCAAAAACTACACATGGCGTCAGGTCCAAATTTCTCCCAATACCTGACCTATGACGGAAGGAGAGGATAAAATAAAACTGAATACAACCTAAGAGATGCTAAAAAGCCCCAAAGGATATTCAGGCTTTCCCTTACCATGGAGATTACAAAGGTACTCCCGCATTTTCATGACCACCTGGGACCTCAGTCGAAGATTGTACTGCATTTGGAAACTACGAAGGTCTAAGTAGCGATACTGCAAACGAAGAGCTTCCGTTTTCTAAACAAATTTAAAGATTTTTATGTTTACTTTTTGAATTACAGGTGTTATCTTTAGCTCTGTCTTTAGCTTCCATCACCAGGAAGCCTACAGCTTGCTATCTGCACCATGTGTACAGCTGGCCAGTCTCAGCTCCTACAACTTTTAAGTTTGTTACTAATACAGATTTTACATTTCTTACTATTCATGAGTATTAACATCACCCTTCACTGATTGAAATTTACTTATTATATTAAACATTAATCCATTCATTAAAGTCCATAATTGACTAGTGAAAATTTTAAAGATCTTTTAAAAAAAATATCAATCAGCAGCGTGGTATATGCCAGTGGCTTGGGAGGCTGAGGCAGGAGGATTGCAAGTTCAAAGTCAGCCTCAGCTGTTTCAAAATTAAAAATAGAAAGGGCTGGGAGTATGGCTCGGTGGTTAAGTGCCCTTGGGGTTCCATCCCTGCTACAAAAACAAAACAAAATAAACACATCAAAAACTGCTGACTTAATTATTACCTGGAGGAGACCCTTGACTGTAAGGGTAAGGAATGTAAAGGGATGGCAGGTGGAGCCTCCTCTGCTATACTGGCAGAAATGGGTGAGGTGTGCTTATGTTCAAGGCTGAAAATCTGCATCCATCTTTGTGCTGAGTACTTTTTTTAAAGAAAGTCATTTCCCTCCAAAATAGCTCCTTTCTTAGATAATAGAAACAGAAATAGTAAGAAATACCTCTAAATTCACTTTCTAAATGCTTATCTTGAGAAATCTGTATATTTCTTTCTCACATTGAGGTCAACTCTGTAATTTCATTATTTTTTTTCTGAGTATTGAGAACTTATAAATATAAGACTAAGTGGCTACAGAATTAATTTAAAAGTTCCTGAATAGATCACTTTAAAATGAGGTATATAGGACTGGATAGAGCACTGGCATGGCATATCAGGCCCTGGGTTTAATCCTCAGCACTCTAGTAAAAAAGCCTGTAGCAGTGACCCAGCTGAAAATCATCTGGGTGTACTTACCCAGTGCTATCTAGCTCCGGTGATCCCTCAAACTTTGGCAAAGAACATCTTAAATTAAATTACAGTAATTCTATTTACATATTTGGGCTTGGGAAGTCACTTTAACCACAATTTTATCACTCTTAGAGGCTTAAATGTAATAGGTGCAGGATTCCCCTACACCATTCAGTGATTTCCAAGATAGATATAAATTTTCTTACAAAACATTAAACATTTTGGAGCAACAAAGAACTTAAATATAACACCTCTAGTCTTAAAGATAGACCCATATTTCAACCTGTCTGAAAAAAGTCTAGGTGTTTACAGACTGCAACAGCTTAATGAACTGCCGCTATTTAAGAACAATTTGTTGGTAAGATGTTTAATTTTGTAGAAGGTAAATTTTTTCTTTAAAAAGCTCTGGAGGGCTGGGGATGTGGCTCAAGCGGTAGCACGCTCGCCTGGCATGCGTGTGGCCCTGGTTCGATCCTCCAGCACCACATACAAACAAAAGATGTTGTGTCTGCCAATAACTAATAAATAAATAAATATTTAAAAAAAAAAAAAAGCTCTGGAAATTCTGGTCATTAACATTCTCTTTTATTAATAACAGAAGTTAGTACCTTCACAAAGTCTTTAATTTCAAAGGGCAGTTTCTTGCAGGAATTCAAAAGCTCAGCTGTTTTAACTTTGATTTCAATCTCACCTGTTGGCATTTTCTTAAAGACAGAGAGAAAAGACCTATTTTAAAAACTGCTGATCAGGACATGTACATGATGCACATTTACAAAACACACAACTTTATTCACAGATGTAAAATGTGTAGGTCCTTATTAGAGTGTATAGTATATACGTCTGTGCATGGCTTTGATGTTCTTGTGCCTATCCATGGATGATACTTTGTCTTAGCATGCATATTTATATAGATGTATTTGTAATGAAGATGTTGAAATCTATAGGTTTAACGGTAGAACTTACTGAGCATTTAGTGCCTAACAGACAACAGGTATATGTTGCCTGAATGTGTATAAAGATATTGCCAATGCAAACAGGTAAAATTTACATAAACAGTTTCTAAACTACTAACTGGATTTTCCTGTCCTGGAGGTCGGGAAATGACTGTTCCGGACACTTGCACCACAGATTCCAGAGGGGCTTCACATAGAATCTTCTTTACAGAAGCAGCTGACTACAGAGGAGGAAAACAGTTCCAAGAAACAAATGAACTTACAGGTATCTGAAAGTTTATGGCTTAGAAAAATGTTAATATTCACAACTTACCTCCCATAATACTTCCCATAAGATGACTGTATTATAATACATTTGGCAAACTGCATCCTTATTTTGACTCCATGTAATATAGCAAGTAAAACTATCAGTTAAGAGTTTTAAAAACTTTCTCAAAGGAAAATAAGAACAACTATTAGTAATGCAAACACCTCCCTCATACTTTGAAGACAACTGTCTCCAGGGTTAGTCTAAGGGGCAGTTACGTCCAATAGTGATAATGGACTATACGGTAGCTATGCTCACCTCCAAGTCCTCGTTCTCCAAATAGTTCACCACTTCTATTTCACTTAGCTGAGTAAATCTTATTTTCCTTTGACATAGAAGCATTTGTAAAAATTACCACAACTAGGCACCCACAGTGCCCAATGGGCATGATGGCAGTTCTTTTATCTAATATGAATGATAAGTAATTAGATCAGGTGTTCCCTTCGCTGGGCTCAAAATGCAAAAGGTATAGAAAGATAGAAAAGATAAAAGTTTCCATCTTATCCATGTCTTCAAGGACCTCAGTTCCCCTCCCCAGAAGCACCCAATGTTAGCAGATTCATTTCACAATGCGTATAAACATGCACACAGTGAGCACACATTCCATCTCTTACCATAGTTCATCTGGATAACAGCACTGTACATGTTCGTCTATATCCTGATGCGGGTTTTTTTTGTTTGTTTTTTTCATTTAACAATATATCTTGGATTTTTTTCCCTATTAGTAAAGAGATTCATTCTTTTTCCATTCATTCTTTTTCTATATCTCACTGTAAAGATGCACATTATTTTTTAAACTAATATCTTATCGAGAACATTGTAGTTCCCATTTTTTCTATTAAAAATAATCCTGAAATGAATATCATTTTATGTATGACATTTTGCATCTGTGTCTAGATGTAAGATAACTGTAATTTTCCAGAAGTGAAATGAATGGTTCAAAGTATATATGTAATTATAATTTGATATTGCCAAATTGCTCTCCATACAGCTAGCGATGATATTGTACTCCTTCCAAGAATGTATGAGCACCTGCTTCGCCAAACACAGTGTGTTGTCAATCCAAAGTGTTAAAAACAATTCTGGGTAGTTTTAATTCACATTGCTCTACCTGTGAGTGAGGCTGGGTATACTTTCATTTGTCTGCATGCCATTTATATTTTCTGTAAATTTTCTTTCTTTTCTTGTGGTGCTGGGAATGAAGCTCAATGCCTTGTGCATGCTAGGCAAGTGCTCTACCACTGAGCTGCATCCCCAACCCACTGGTCTATTTTTTTTTAATTGATTTGTAGTACTCTTTAATTTTTATTTATTTTTTAGGTACTGGAGATCGAACTCAGAGACACTTAACCACTGAGCCATATCCCCAACCTTTTTTGTATTTTATTTAGAGATGGTCTCATTGAGTTGCTTAGTGCCTCCTTAAGTGGCTGAGGCTGGCTTTGAACTCTTGATCCTCCTGCCTCAGCCTCTCCAGCTGCTGGGTTTACAAGTGTGCACCACCGTGCCTGGCTCTAATAGCCTTTTAGCTATTAGAGAAGCCATTTTCTGTAACATGAGTTGCACACATTTTTTTTTTTTTCCAGTTTGGCATGTTAATGTTGCTTATGGTAGTTTTTAGTTTTTATTAACAATAAGCCCCTGAATTTAAAATCTCAAACACACTTATATCAAACTACTTAGCTTTCTGTAGCCACAGCATCAAAGAAGCTTTTAACAGTAGGACACTTTCTATTACCTCATCCTGGGGAATGACAACTTGAACAAGACCGTGGCAATCTCTTAGGACTAGGAAGATGTTTTGCCTGATTAATGAAAAATAAAATGAACATTTTAGGATAAAATCTCTAAGCCCAAAGTTTAATCAGAGTAAACAAGTTCAATAACAAAACAAAAACCCTAAGCAATTTATCATGTTCCTTTTTTATGAATAACTATGTACTTTCATTAGCTATATTTATGCAATTATTGTCTACATTGCTTATTAATGAAAACAAGTCATTTTTTAAAATTTCAATTTAATTGGTCACTTATATAGCCCACTACTCTTCTATAGATAGTTTAATAATGAAAAAGCAGATTTAAAATTAAAAGAACTTGTGCTGGGGTTGTGGCTCAGTGGTACGGAGCTTGCCTTGCATGCGTGGGGGCACTGGGTTTGATCTTCAGTACCACAAAAAAAAATAAAATAAAGGTACTGTGTCCATCTACAACTAAAAATTTAAAAAAAAATTAAAAGAACTTTTCATTGGCTTAAGTCTGCATAAGATAATTTTATGAAACGTGGAAACTTTTTATAAGGTGCAATTCAGACATAATATGGTATTAGAAATCATTTTTGAAATATAGCAATGTTAAGGTTTTTTTCCTTCCTAAAAAGGTATATGATCTGAAATTTCCTAGAAGAGTTCCAACTACTAATTTAACAATTCTACAAATCACCAAAAAATTCCCCAAATTTCAACATTTTAACAATCTACACTCCTCATCCTGTCTTTAGTATCTGAAAGAGGTACAGATTTTGGGTTCAGGAAACAAAAATCACCAAATTTATGGGGTAAATATCCACCCACTTGGGACATACACTTTATAAAAAAAATATATTTTATTTTTATTTTTTTAGTTGTACGTGAACACAATACCTTTATTTTTATGTGATGCTGAAGATCGAACCCAATGCCTCATGCATGGTAGGCGAGCTCACTGAGTCACAACCCCAGGCCCTGGGACATATGCTTTTAAGGTCACACAGCCTATGTATTTTGAATCTGTTCACATATGGTCTGGAATACAGAGCTAAACAACAAAAAATAGGCTCTGATCTTAAGAAACCACTGTTGGTGCTTTTAGTTTTTTTTCCCTACCTAATATTAGGATGAAATAAGCTCTTTCCCCGTGCTATTGAAGCTTCCCAGCTGTTTCTAGGATGTGGGCCCATTTCTGGTTTACTGGTCATAGGAAGTCTTCCAATTTATTTAGCCCAGGGCTATTTTTAGTCCATTCCAGGACCAAGCTTCATTTTTATTCTCTTCTGGTACTTACTAAGACTGACACCATTTGGATCTTTCAAAACAAAGATGAGAAATAAGAATTCAGTGAATTTTGAGAGTCCTGCAGGGGTTACAGAAAGCTTTTTATTCTCATGAATACTTAAAACTTTAGTAAAGGTTTGAAATTGCTTTCGGGAAACAATTACCATACATTCAGGGGTTTCTTGGTGGTATTGGGAGATTTAACCCAGGGGTGCTCTACCACTGAGCTATACCTCAACCATTTTCTATTATGAGACAGGGTCTGCCACTGCTCCTTGGCCCACCATCCACTTATAACTCAATTTACCTTCGGTACTGAATCCATCCACACAAGGTAACTTCTTGGCCTAAGTGAGAAGAACGTAACTCTCCACATGTGTTGGTCCTGGCAACAAAGCTATTGAATTCTTGGAAAAAAAAATGTGTAAAAAGCAATATTAAAAATATATTACTTGCAGATTGCTTAAAAATATTCTCAATTCACAGATTCTTAAATATTTCAGGTAGAAATGTGTAAATTAGAGCATGTAGATTCATCCAGTATTAAATTTACCTGCCAATGTGTCAAAAGCCAAATGAATAACTGTTTGAATGCAAATTTTTGCTTTGGGTTAGGAAACTTACCTTTTTCTGGATCTAGCAGTTGCACTGACCTAAAATCCTAATTGCCCAATTCTAAATATTACACTTTTTTCCTGAAATGAAATATGATATTAGGAATTAAAGATGTTTGATGGTGCAGTAACGATATAGCTGTAGTATGAAACTAGTGTGTAATAGCCACTTGTACTCTGGAAAAATATCAAAAATGTGAAAGGTTCTTTTTGGCTTCCTACTTGTAGTATCAACCAAACAGAACAGACTACAATGCGGTTACCTTTCTAGGGTCGTTAAAAAACAAAAGCAACAACAACAAAAAACAATGAAAAAATGCATTATAAGGAATATAAAAAGGAAATGATCTACTTCTCCATTTCTCCATACATACAGCTATCAGGGGGGAAATGGCTGCAAAGAACAGGCTCTTCCCTGTTTTCACCTGGAATCCTCCTCTGTGAACTCAGCGCCAGACTTCGGGAGAAAGAACCCCAGGTTGGCTGGGCTGTCCTTCCGATGGGTCTGGATAAACCCCTGCACAGCTGACTTAACCAGGAGAGGAAGTACATGCTGAGACCCCAGGACGGCGAGAGACGATCACAAATTCCACGCTGCAGGTGTTGGACGGTGCTCAAAACTCTGTTTTGGAAATGCACCGAAGTCCCTTAAAATTTTAGTTCCCACTCTTCTCCAATATTTAAGCCCTCCTCCGCTGAACATCCGGGTACGGGTGTCTAGCAACTACATAAATCTGCAAGGTTTGGAAGGCCCTTGGATGAGTGGATAGGGAAAAGCCCTCTCCCCGTCAGGGCATCACTTTCCACTTCTATCAAGGCCGCTGCGCCGAGTGACCCGAGGACCAGTGTGAAGCGCGACGCGGAAAGGCCTGTCACCAGGCGCACGCTTTCCTCCTCTTCTCCGCCAGAACGAAGGCTCCCACGGGCAGAACCGGAAAACAAGGAGGAAACAGCCTGCGTTCCAAATCTCCTAGACCTGGCAGCCGACCTAAGACTTTCCGTAGGAAAAGGACGGCAACCAAATCAAGAGCACTCCTAGGCCAGAAACCACGCTAGACCCGGGGAGTCAATGGTCCTTGTACCCGCTCGGGATTAGAGGAAGGCATTCTACCAATCAGAAAGAAGCTTCCGCCGCCATGCCTACTACGGGCGGAAATAGGAGGGGAACGCCTCGCACCCGAGGAAAACCAAGAAGCAGCGCCGCTCACCGGCCTTGACCTCAGTTAAAATGGCGACCTGGGTTACTTCACTGTCTTGAAATAGGAGGGGCGCCAGGGAGGCTTCCTGCGTGGGACCGCAGAGCGAGTCGGGAGATGATTTTAAACTGTGAAGGGCGCTGAGAGCCGAGCTGCCGCTTCTGGCCGTGGGCTCTCAGATCTGGCTTTGCCCCAGGAGGGCTCGGGTGGAGAGCGAGTGGTCTCCTGTCTCTTGCCGACCCCCTCCGGCTGGGAGCGAGCGGCGGCCTCCTAGCTGGGCGCCTTGGCGTCCGGGGGAGCTCGCTCGCGGAGCGCCGGCGGCACTCGGGCCTCTCCCTCAGCTGTCATTTTGGCGGCTTTTTCACTTCAGGAGGTTTCAGCCTCGACCAAGTTCCGGAGCCGGATGGAAGAATGAGTTGTGCACGCGGAATGGGTGACAGCGTCAGCGCTGCACTTCATTGGTGAGCTGCTTTGTGTTGGTCCAGGACTGGCCGTGAACTTGGCTGTGGCCTGTGTCCTTAAGCACAGACGTGCTTCGCGCTACGAGGTCGACGCCCCGCCGCGCTCGGGCTTCGGAGCTGTTGGCCTTAGGGACTGGTGGGGTGTACCCAAGTGATTAAGCCCCTTTCTGCACGGACTACCTACAGGACCGACAACTCGGGGTGTCCTGGTGTGCTACCATGAATTTTAAATGGTACTTACACATTATCATTTACAAGTAGTAGTACTGCGTCCCGGCCACGGTGCGCACACCTGTAATCCCAGCTTTTCCGGAGGCTGAGGCCGGCCAGCCTCGGCAATTGAGCGAGACCAAAAAACAAACAACAACAACGGGGGTGTAGCTCGGTGGTAGAGATCCCTGGGTTCGATCCCTAGTACCGCAAAAATAGTTAAAACTGTAAGTATAACCTCATTTGTGAAAAACTCTTTTGAAAGACTAACAGCACAGTAGTTGGGAGTAATTATAACTTCATTCCTTTCAGTGGAAATGGTATGTTCATGTTGGAGCTCTATGGAATACTTACGTTCGATTAAACCAATACTTGGTTAACAATTAAAGTGCACTTCAGCTTTGTATTAGGGCAGTCATGCAAGAGAATTATAAAGCACTATTTCAGTCAAAGCAGCTTAGACTTGCAGGGGAGACAAGAAATTCACACCAAGAAAATAAATGAACAGGGGCCAAAATGAGTGGTTCAGACTTGGTGAGGAGAGCTGTGTGGCTGCTGTATCTCCAAAGATTTTACAGAACATTCTTGAAGAATTTTGCTGGACTCTTTTGGAAATGGGATCTCTCTCTCTCTCTCTCTCTCTCTCTCTCTCTCTCTCTCTCTCTCTCTCACACACACACACACACACACACACACACACACACACACACCCACACCCACACCTTCCGGGAATGAGCCACAATACAGATAGAATCATATAATGTAGGCATTTCAGGGGAAAAAGATTTGGAAAAACCCTCTTGTTTGAATTTTCGAACAAGAATTTTTGCAAAAAAAAAAAAAAAATTCAAACAGAATTTGAAAGGAGGTCACATTCAAACATGGTCTTAAAGGAGGTGGAATAGGAAATGTCAGTTCAGACAGATGATATAGTTGATAGGCAGAAACATGAAGATATGAATATATTTGTGTCCTAGGTTGGAGAGGAGAAAAAGGAGAAGCTGAATTTCGACAGACTTAAATATCTGGCAGAGGAGTTTAGGATTTATATTGTCATGAGGTTTTTGCTCTGATAACTAACAATAGAGTGCCATTTTTGGAAAAATGTTTCACTCTTAGGGACTCTTGGTTGTGGTTATAAAAATATAGCCCAGCCTATGGTTTGGGAATGCATGACAAAGGCTGTTGAAGGAAGAATTTGATAGAATGTGCTGAATGACTACTTGTGAAGGAGTGGAGGTGGGGGACTGTAAGCATTTAAGTTCTCCTAGAAAATTGATAGGAATTTGAAAGTGGGCCAGTTAGCTTTTGGAAGGAAGGAGTTGAATTTAATTTTGAACATACTGTTTGTGGTATCTATAAAGTATTAATAAATATGGCTATAGCCAATGAGAAGTGTAGCACTTCATGAAAAAGTTGAAGAAGGGGAAGGAAGGAAAGAATTATTTTATGGTGGGTAGAGGAATCTGTGGAACTATGAATATGAGTTAATCTTTTAGTGTTTAGAATTCTGTCTTGTTATTATTATTATTGTTATTTTTTTATGTAGACCATGGATCCTTATGTTGCATCAGAATCAACACCTGAATTGACTCCTAGACAAAGTACATCCTCAGGTCTTAAAGATTACCTTATAGGTGCCACCCCTCTGCAAAAACGATTGGAGTCAGTTAGGAAGCAGACTTCATTTGTCCCAACCCCGCCTCAAAGGAAAATTCCCCAGTGTTCACAATTGCAGGTATGCTTTGTGTTCTTTAAAAGAAAAGAAAAAAAAATATATGTGTATATGTTGTAGATGGACACAATATCTTTATTTATTTATTTTTATGTGGTCTGAGGATTGAACCAGTGCCTCACATGCAAGGCAGGCGATCTTCCATTGAACTACTGCCCCAGCCCATGTGGATTAATAAATAATTGAGACTATTTGAGCAAAACATTTCAATTTTTGTTACTGTTTATAATATCTTCTTAACCCTTCACTAATAAAATAAATGAGAAACAGTTAAATAATTTTATAGTATTAGCACTATATTCTTTTATCTCCTTAATCTGGATCATTTCCACAGTATTTTTCTTTGTATTTTTTAATTTCTTTGTTGTATGATAACTTTTTTTTTAAAGTACAATCTTTTCTCCCCTTTTTAAATAGAATACTGCTCATTTTGTATTTGTCTGATGTTTGCTTGTGATGAGAATGAAGTCATATTCTTTGTTGGAGCACTGCATAGGTGCTGTTGTGACCTTCATTGTAGCTGTTTTTATCAGTGTTGATGCCTAGTATCTCTTGGGATAGGAGTCAAGTTTTGCATTTTTGTAACAACTTTCTTAAAGAAAAATTACTGATGCTGGTAATGAAAGTGATAGCTTTTAGCCAGAAAACAGAAATTTTATATGAAGATTGGAATACCCTATTCTGTGCTTCTTTACCTTTTCAATAATTTTGCCATGTATTTTGATAACTATAAAAAAAAGTATAATTGTTTCAATAAATGTTCTATCCAGAAGAAATATTTTTTTCTCAAGTAAAGTTTTAAAAAATAGATGGAGCTGTGAGACAATACTAGAAAGCATGGACTTTTCTGGGGAAAACAGACAATAAAAATCAGACAGTATTTTATTGTCACTCAGTAATTAAGTGCTGTGAAGAAAAATAAAGCAGATATATAAAAATATATATCTATAATATATATCTATATCTTTATATAAAAAGATCTTTTTATATAAAGATATAGAGTGACAAAGTTGGAGTGGGTACAGGTGCTACTTTAGTGGAGTAGCCTCTTGGGTGGCATATTGGGAAGAGATCAGAATGAAGTGAAGGAACAAGCCATTTGAACTCCTGGGAAAGAGCATTCTAAAAGGGAATGTTCAGCGAAGTTCGAAGATCTATAAAAAATCTTGCAAACCTCACTTTAGTTTGATCTTTGGGAATGCAAAGGTTTGGGCCTCAGTTATAGATTCGTATAAATACTTAAATCCTTTGATTCTTTCTTACTAATGTTTGTTAATTTTTAACCTTTTTTTTTCTTTTTTAGGAAAATATTGATTCTCAGAAGGTTGCTTTCCTCCTGCATAAACAATGGACTTTATATAGTGTAACTCCCTTATATAAATTCTCCTATAATAATCTTAAAGAGTATTCTAAACTTCTGAATGCATTTATTGCTGCTGAGAAGCAAAAGGGACTTGCTGTGGAAGTGGGAGAAGACTTCAACATTAAAGTGATTTTCTCTACTCTCCTGGGAATGAAAGGAACACAAAGGGACCCCGAAGCATTTCTTGTCCAAGTATAGTATATAAACAATTCTTGTTTCCTAGGGCAAAATGATCTACATTTTGTTTTTATTTTGTTCTTTTTAAAAATTTTGCAGTGCTGGGGATTGAACTCAGGGCCTTGCACATACTAGGCAAACTTTCTACCACTGAGCTACATCCCCAGCCATTTTTTAAAATTGTGAAACGGGGTTTCACTAAGTTTCGCAGGCTGGCCTTAAACTTGTTATCCTCCTCTCTCAGCCTCCCAAGTAGTTCGAATTACTATGCACTACTATGGCCAGCAGCATTTTCTTGGTTTGGAAATAGTGGTATTTTTACGGTTTTTTTAAGTTCCTAAGCTTGTGATTTTTTAACGTATTTTATGTGTTATTTTACCAAAGTGTAATAATTAGATTATGGCCAATGTAAATTTTTTAACATATGTGTGTATGTGTAAAATTATGTTAATTTTAAAAAACTTTGAAAATATGTAAAAGTACAAAGAAAGTTAATGATCATAGTTAAGCTGGTGCATGCTTGTAATCCCAGCAACCTCAGGAGGCTGAAGCAGGAGGATCATAAATTTGAGGTCAGCCTTAGCAACTTAGTGAGACCCTGTCTCAAAATAAGGGCTGGGATGTGGTTCAATGGTTAAGTACCCATGGGTTTAATCCCCACCCCCAAGTAAGGCTATCTTTTGATGTATTTTAAAAAGACCACAGATTTATTTTGTTATTTGTAATAAAGTCTCTTCTGAATTTATTAATCTTAATCACTAATAAGAAAATGAAATCCTCAAGCAATTAACAAGACTGGATTTATTTGTTTATGTAAATCAAAGGTCAGCAAAGCATGGTCTGACCTGCTCTTTGTTTTATAAATAAGATTTTATTGGAATGTAGCTTCTTTTATATGCTATGTCTTATGTATGTGTGGCTACTTT